AAATACAAAATATAATTGAATAAAATATTAATTGAAAATTAAATAAATAAATTAAATCTTCTAAAACTTTTTTATATTATAAAAAGGTAGTTATCAGCGTATCATTAATACAAATATATATGTATATAACCTAATAATACCATATTTTATCATTTTGCTCTTCTCTTTGTAATTTTAGTTTTCTTTTAGTTTTCTTTCTTTTGTTTTTAACTTCCACTGAGAGATGCCATTTTAAAATTAATTTAAATATTAAATATATAAATATTATAAATTGTACAAATATTAACGCAGGTGACGTTAGCATAAGTGCGGGGTGCGCTGAATGTGAATGTAAGTGCCCAATCGGAGACCATAATATAATTCTATATTTCTATATAAATCAATATAATGACAATACTCTCGCTCAAAGTATTTTAAAAATAGACATACAAGTATACAGTAGTCACTGTCTAGATATGATAAGAACTACTTGAAATTGTAGTATAGTACCGGTATTTAGCTATAAATAGCAATTATTTTCTAATCGATCGTTTAAATTTAGTTACAAGTTACATTACTTAGATAATAATAATTATAATTATAATTATTAAATATAATAATATATATATATATATATTATTATTATTATTATTATTATTATTATTTTTAATTATTAAAACCCGATGTATTTGGTTTTGTTTGCGTTATATTTAGGCAATATTAAAAATTTGGTAAAAATTAAAAGCAATCATTTAATAATGAGTCTTACTCAATACTTTAGGTAGGCCGGCCTAAGGCCGGACATATATTATGGTGGGCCAGGCACACCCTGGCCCTCCTTTAGCTACGTGCCTGAGCTCAATACTCCACCGTTCTTTAAATTTCTATATATTCGTCATTCGTCAGTACATGATTTTATAAAATCGTAGTAAAAAGTATTGGACCCTTGAAGTTTTGTAAGTGGTATTAGTGCATTTCTAAGTACTTTTATGGTTATTGGTATAAAGAGCTTTACTCATTTCACACTGTAAGTGTTCTGGTAGCAACCTGTGATTTTCCAGTGGCTTGTTGACAATGTTTTTAAGGAACGGCCGCTCCATCAATATTTTTGGGGTGGGTTGTTAATAATTAGGAGGGTACTCTTTTGCTTTAAAAAAAAATAAAATTTTTATATTGTAATCGTCAGACATCAATAGCCTACATAATAACTAATTATCACAACATATAATAGTATAATAGTATAAATGTATTGTATAATAAGTAGTGCGTAGTACGTACTATGTGATATACACTTATACATTACCTATATTATATAATTACCAGTTGATTAAAAAATAAAGTTTTATTTAGCTAATATTTTGTTTTAATTGATACTAAAAAATGATGGGACTTGAGCAAATTAAGTAGGCATGTAGCTGTAGCATTACTAGCATTACAATGAGGTTTTTATTATTATTAAGCATATTAAATTTATTTACAAATACCAATTACATCAGTAAAATTGATCAAAACTGTTAAATAAGTAATGATCAATCAGTGGTAGCGTCAACTATTTTTTCCAGTGAAGCAACTACCTTACATAAGTACCCACCCACCAATTTTTTTACATTTTATATTTTATTTTTCATACATTTTAAATGTAGATTTAATCCTCAGGAATGTACATCAATGTACGGAAATAACAACAATCCAAAGATAGTAAAAAAATAATTTCTACCGCCTACAAAAAAATTGTGCCTTGAGTTGCCTTATGTTTGGCTAACCTCTACACCACCAATTCATAAAAGTACGTATATTTTTTGTAATGTATATTTAATTCTGCAATTTGGAGTACTTTGCTTGGTAAAAATAAATTCTGAAAATTATTATTCTAATTTAAAACGCTTCAGCTTTTACGTAACCAGTTTTATTTTATTATTGATCCTTTAATTTTTAGTAGTAGTAAATATTATGAAAAGACCTCACTTTTCCTGTTTTTGTATTAGTAGTTATTGGGTATTTTCTATCAATTAACTTAAAAGGTGATGGTTGACAAGGACTAAACTGGGTAAAAAGCAATAGTTAAGAGTATGGTAGGTACATGTTCTGGTATATACGCTGGACAGTTTGGAAAATTTTTAACAGCTAAATTCAACTCATTATCACCTGAAAATAAATCACAATTGAATTAATTATAATTTATAAATTTAATAATAATATAAAACTATAAACATAAAATTGCACCATGTAAATAATATTTGATAAATATCTGAATATAATCTAAATAGTTTAGTTATTGGAAATAACCCCTGAATATTTTTCATCTACTATTAATTAAATTACAACTGAGCGACTATTATAAGAAATGTGTTCAAAAGAAAAATTTCAAAGAATCAATAATAAATAAATTAAAAAAATGACTAAATTAACTAATTTAATTAATAACTAAATTTTTATATCTTTTTATATTTGCTATTTCTTATCTCTTTTTTTTTGGTTGTTTTTAGTTAGGGTTGTACTGCTGTTTATTTGTTTTGTCTTCTCATAGGGAATTTTCTTTTAACTGTTTGATGTCTTGTTAATTTATTGTTTGTCTGGTTTTTGTCTTATGATTTGTGATAGTTATTTGTTTGATGTATTGTTGACGTTTTGGAGTTGTATATATTTTGTCTATTTTTATGTTTGGTATTTCTTAGGTCCTTTTTCTAAGCTTTTTTGTAAGTAGTGTCGAATAGTATTTAAGTTTTGATTTATATTTAGGATTCTTCTTATTACTGTATGATGTCTTGTTTATTTATTGTTCTTGTTTTATGATTTGTGATAAGTATTTTATTTGATATATTGTTGGCGTTTAGGTGTTGGATATATTTTTTTGTCTATTTTATGATAGGTATTTCTTGGTTTATCATATTGTTTGGATGTTTTGTAGGAAGTATTGAATAGTATTTATGTTTTGGTTCCAATTTAGGCATTATATTTTACTGGTTGACGTATTATTATTGATTTATTGTTCTTCTGGTTTTTGTCTTATGATTTGTGATAGGTATTTGTTTGCAGGGGCGTCATTTGGGGGATTCAGACTATACATTGGCAGCCCTATTTTTTTAAATGTTTGGTTGGCCCGTATAAAATGTTATAATTGCGCCGTCGTCGATAAAATGTAAGATGCAAACGCGCTGTAATGGTGCGAGTTTTTCAAAAGAACCTATTGTCCTATTGAAGTATTGAAGAATTTTTTTAAGTTCCGCTAAATAAACAGGATATATAAATGGCCTGGTGGAGGGAACAATTGGCTTGATTCAAATGTTTGCATCCCTATTAAAAAGTTGAAATGACGCCCGTTTGTTTGTTGTTCTGTTGGCGTTTTGAATTTGTAGGTATATATTTTTATATTTACTATTTCTTATTTTGGTTGTTTGTAGATAGGGTTGAACAGCTATTCATTTGTTTTTGCTTCTAATTAGGAATCTTTATAATACTGATTTTATATTTTAAAAATATGATAAAATATTTAAATTAAAACTTTATACCTATCTATTTATAATTCAAATTAAAAATAAATTAAATCAACTTTATATAATAACATTAAATTAATAATCAAATAAAAATAATATAATTACATTTTTTTTAAGTTTCTCTTTAGAACTAGGATTCTTTTTCATCTACCTAAATCAAAATTTTTTCAGGAGTCAGATAACCATTTTTATTTTTGATGGTATGAATATGATAATCTTGTTGTTTAATTGAAATATTTTAAAAATCAAATAAAATATAATAATTAAAGCTTTATATCTAAATATTTATAAATCAAGATAAAAATTTTAAATAAATTAAATCAACTTTACATAATTACTTTCATTTAATAATCAAATAATAATATTATAATTCAATTTTTTTTTCTATCTACCTAAATCAAAATTCCTTCGAGCCAGGGATCCTCTTTTCATTTTTCTTACTGACCACTGGCTTATTAGATTGTCTAGAATATTAATTTTGTGTATCAAGTTAAAGAAAAATTACACTCACTTTGTTTAGATTGAAAAAAATTAGATAACTCAAAGTTGTTTATAACTGTATACTTTCTAACCTTTTTTGAGGCAACTATTCCTTTGATATCAAAAGAAAATCCATTTAAATCATTGAGTTTACATATTTATTCTATGATTAGATCGTTGAATACTACCTTAGAATTCTTCAACTTGATTTCTTAATCTATTACTGGATATAGGATGTCATAATTACAGGCACACAAATAGGTGTTTAATTTAGGGAGGACGATTCACCTTATTCAAAATTTTTAGGGCTTGTATATTGTGTATCTTAATTCATGATTACTACACTATGATCTTAGGAAGATCGAAATTTTATACAATAGAAACAAATATTTTAGATTTTTAGTTAAATATAAAATAATTAATCATTACTATATCAGCAACATTTTTAAACTTAACACCCAAAAAAACAGTCTGCAGTAATTATTAAAAATTTTAATTTTCTCAATTTAATCATAGTTATGAGTTTTTTTTTAAAGGAAACATTAAACTCTATGTTATTTAAATATTGAATGATTCAAACAAGATGTTAACTTATAATCACATATAAAAATGCAAATGTTTTGTTTTTAAATATTACTAATTTTAACAATTGAACTTTGACAGATGGTACAAATAATTTAAAAAAATTGAGCAATATACATTTTATAACTTTGTGCAAAAAAAAAAAAAAAAAAAAAACAACCTAATACATTATCAGACATTGTGAATTAATTACTAACAGAAATAATTCATAATTACTTTATTTAAGTTATAACAAGTCCTAAATTATAATAAGACAATGATGAGTCTTTAAATTTATAGATATATGCAAATTAAAAAAAAAAAAAATACAGATAACTTAAATAATAAAATGGCAGTACAAAACTGATTCAACAGATGTTACTAAGAATTTAATACAATTTATGTAATGTGTACCTAATTTACCATACAATAAGATGTTAAACTAAAAATATCTTTGGCAGTTTGGTACAATTGAATAAAAAATAATTATTTTTTTTTCTCCATATTTTCTTCAACATATCTTATTTTAAAATCTTCAAATTCTGTTTTCAACTCCTGGAACAATTAAATAATTTGATAACACTATACATTATTAAATATCATTAAAAACGTAGTTATATCTCAGAAAATAAATATTATATAATGCCTATTAAATTTATGTATAATATTTTAATTAAATTAAGAATCATATTATTTATTTAACTCATTATTACCAAAATTAAAGTTGTTCGATCCCATTTTTCTAAATATAGGCTAATTTTATTGTCTAGTAATGAAAATAAATCTATAATTCCATCATCAATTTTCCAATTTTGGATTTCATCCCAAAATTTCATCACATCGTCATGCAAGAGTATTTCAAACATATTTTTGTCAATTTTCAATTCTTGTTTTGAATTTTCTGGTAATAAATCTGCAAAAAAATTTATCGCCACTTTAACTTGAATTAAAGGTAGGGGTAAATCAACTATGGAGTGGATATTAGTAATTTGTTTAAAAAAACATATTTGATCAGATTAAAGCAACAATACTAACCAATTTTCAGTTAATAATCATGTTAAATTATAAAAATAAATTATTATAATTACAAGTGTAGATATTTTATTTGATAAAACTACTTGAAAATTTTCAAAACTTTAGATATAGTAAAAAATTAAATTAAATTATTTAATCAAAAATTATTATTGTTTTTTGGACAGACATTTTAAAAAAATGGAGAAACTTGTTGCTTCAAAAAATAATTCAATCTTAATAAAAATCTTATATACTAAATTAATGTAGACTCAAAAATATAAGTTTTACTGTGTATATACAGAAAAAGTTTGAATATAGATTCAAAAGAAATTCTTTTATATTACTTTAGTATACACTCAAGAAAAAATATAATTTTGGAGTTAAAAATATATTAACTACAAAATATAAATAAATTAAAAGTTTTATCTCTCAGTAATTATTTAAATCTTAAAGATCAGACAAGACTAATAAGCTATGAGTTATAGTAGTAAGATGTTATTAATAGTACTGGACTGTAACCATAATATTTTTCAGGCAATCAGTCACAAAGAAATATTACATAATGTTACACTACAATAAAATTTTTTTTTAATTCAAAAAATTAATTTAACATCAAAAAACAATTTTCAATGTATATGTAAACCAATTTAAAGATAGCAGACTCAGTAAACACATATCTCATTAGGATACTATTTAAAAATAGGATGGACAAAAGTATTCATAATGTAAATACAAGCAGTTTTATTATTATTATAATTATTTTTTTGAGGGGAATGATTAACCTTCATCTAAATAATTGGGCTTAAATAATGAGCAATAAAGTAGTGACTACAATAAGATCTTTGGGAGGGGGGAGGGATTGCTCCTACCTCCTTCTAAATTACATATCTCATTGAAAAATTACACAAAAATGTATAGTTTTCAAATATTGAATAATATTTTGTTTAATAATTTAAGACCTCTTATTAAAATAATTAAAATACTTCTCTAAAATTAAAAATAAAAATGAAGTACAATATTATAAAATTCATTGTATTATGAATTTCAACTTAAACATGGTTGTGTATGTCAAAATAAAAAAAGTTAAAAAAGCTACATTTCGTATAATAATAATAACCAGTACTTACCAACATGATTAATTTCATTAGGTATAGGACTAGGTGAAGTTGATCGATCTACCCATACCATAGAATGGTTACTATCATTACTGCTTTCATCGATTCCATTAACTTAAAATAAAAATGTATAATTTATACTATGTGTTTGTATAGAAATAAACTAGATTTATACAATTTTAAATCCAAATTTTAATAAATTAAACAACTATAAATATAATTTTCCAATAGGAAATCATTACTTTATTTTTTAATATTTAAAAAAAGTTGTACTTACTATCAAATCCATTAATTGTCGGATGACTAGAGTTATCGTTAACTGAATTGTCATCATGATCCTAAAGCAAAATAAGATATAAAAATAAAAATTTGATTACACTTTATGAAGTATTATTTTTATAGTGCAACATTATTTTAAATTATAATATATTTAATAATTATTATTATTATATTATTGTAAAAAATTTATATCTGTGGTAAAAATGTAATAGATTTTATTAAATTTTTTTTTTTTAAATTGGATATGCTACATTTGTTTTAACTATTAAAATTTACAATTATGACTATGTAACATTAATAGAATAAGAAAATAATAATGCAGTTGCAAATATGAACATAATAGCTTAATATAATGCAACTAATGAGAGATAAATTAATTATACTAACTACATATAAATGTAACAAACATTAATATACTTTAGAATTTTTTGAGTATCTTTTCTTTTTGGGGGTTAATCCTTTTTGCCACATATTACGACGCTTTTTCCTTCGGCTACAATTATCTTCAAGATGATCTAAAAAATGCATAAAAACATTGAAATAACTTATACATATATATATATATATATATATATATATTTTATAAAAATTAAATTAATTTGAATTAGTATTCATAATATTTTTAAGTTATTGCTACAATCGCAATAATATAGTATTAGATGAAAATATTTGACTTTAAAGAATTTAAGAATATGAATTAATTCTACGTTCAAATATATTTTATTTTAATTAAATTTAAATACAATCATTAGAATATAGATAATTTATGTGATGGTATAATTATAGGTATCAAACAATATATATTATAATATGAAAAAATTTAAATACATCCTATATCTGGGTAGACAAATTAAATTGAAAATGTGAGAATTACATGTATAAGTGGATGTGTAACAGATAGTAGTTATGATAGTGCTGTCAATTTTTATAATGAAATATCAGAAGAAATATTTTGTAATTTGATTTTGATTATTCCAATCAGAAATAATTTAATACATTTCATAAAGTAATGAATTCAATAATCTTAAAATAATAACTTCACAAAATATATTTAAAAATTAATTATCTATACCATAATATTGGTACAAATATTTCCAAACTGAGACAACAAAAAGTGCAATTTATTTTAAATAAATAAATATTAGTAATTACCATCTTTTTCAATTATTTGTTGCTCTTTTTTGATAGTGTGTACAAAATCAGGAACACATGTTTGTTCAATTTCAGTAGCATTACGTATTTTACGTTTATCTCTTATATCTCGACATGTATCTTCAAAATCTGAATCCATTTCTGCTTTGATAAATGCATAAGCTTTATCTCTTAAAGAGCAAGCTCTGTGTCTAATGTGCTTGTCTTCAGCACTTTTATCTGGATTATACTCCAATGCATTTCGTACAATGAGATCAATATCATCTAAAAAATCTCTCGCACAAATATAACAATGTTTGTCTATTTTACTCATAACCGTTTCTAAATCCATAGGTTCTTTGATGATTTCCAAATAATCTGGCACTTCTTCAATGTCAACTGGCTTTGTAAACATGAAAAATCTATAAATATAATTACATATTTAAAACCTTTATATAAATATTGAATAATAATATTTGTTGTAAGACTATAAGATAAAGCGCAACTCGATATGCATATATTAAATACATTTTTGGTACAGAAAACTTTGATAAATTTCTAATTTAATTAAAAACTTACTGTTTATTACGAGCTAGTTTGGCACAAATATCACGTAAAAATATTCTCAGTTCTCTCAATGTATTTTCTTCTTGAGAAATAATATTTTTTAATTCAGTTTCACTTAATTTTGTAGGACTAGGAGGAGGAGCAATAGGAAGTTCTTCTAAAGATTGTTGATCAATGATTACAGGCGGTGTAAGGGCCTTATCAATTAATATAGAATATAATGCACGTATAGAATTCTCTGATGGATTAGGAATTGAATATTTTCGTTTTTCACCTGAAAATATATCTAATACCTGTAAATATATCATAAAAAACAAACAAATTATTCATATTGAAATTATTACAATTAAAAATAAATATAAATCAATTATTTACTTCATTTGGTAAATCCTTAATATCATAGAGTGATGTTGCAAATGTTAATACAGGAAGAGTTATATCCATTGAATCCATTAACTCTGAGAATAACTTTTGTAATGGATATGATAAACTGGTCCAAAATTCACCGATATTTGGAATAAATAAAATTGCAGGAAGATGTTTAGGAAGCTCTTTGAAGATCTGAAAATTTAAAATAAAATATAACTCAACAGTGCATTTGTTAAATAAATGAAATATTTTATCAATCAAATATTTTTAATGAATAAAAATAATCACAAACACATTACAATAGTGTCAGTATTCTTAAATAAATTACTAAAAAAAATATTACATCTATGGCACATAAGAAAGAGAAATATATTATTTTAAAATTTAAATAGGAAGACTTTCATTAATTATGAGGTTTGCTTCAATATATATCATATAGAAAACCACTTTTATAGTATAATACTATATCATAAAGATCTCATAGTATAAAATTATAATGATTTTATGACTGTTTGTAATAACTAGAATTGCTATTTAAATAATATATTTAATTTGTTGAACTGTTAATATAAAAGAGAAATAATGTCGTCAAGGTAGATTTTAATATACAATGTAATTATTCCTCTTGCAAAAAGGTAAAACAAAAAAATTCATCTCATAAACCTTAAAAGTGATGAAAATGTTTGGGCACTGTATGCAGCTAATATATATGTTACCAGCTAAGTGTTGAATCCGGCATTTTATAGAATGCCAAAAATGAGCAGGAAAAGTATAAAATTGATATAATGACTAGGTATTCTATAGAGTTCCAAACCTCAAGCAGGCAATGTGTACAATTGATATGTAATTATATTTTAGTGAGTATATTTATATTTTATACACATTTATATGTTCGACAATCATATATAAGATATTACAAGTTGCTTATCATACCATTTTGTGAAAATAGGTAAAATAATGTTATAATATAACTGATTAAGAGATAAATAAGTGATGGATTTAATCAAATCAAAGTTTCAATTCAGTGTTCTTTGATTTCTTGTTATATAAAGATGTCGGAACGGTTTCATACCAAATTAAATAAAACCAGAAAAAGTTAAAAAAATATTGGATTTCTATCAAATGAAGCATTTGGAAGCGTCTTGATTCGCTCTTTGACTTTATCTAACTACCTTGCTTTAGCTGTGCCTTGGTTTACCATGAACAATTTTAAGTTCAATTTTTAATATTTCATCGTATTTTTCATCTGATACGATGAAATATTAAATGAAGTTTCTCTACTTAAAAGAGAGGCTAAACTAAATCTTAAAAATCAAGCAGTTAAAATGAAAACATGGTCAGATAAAAAACTTAAGCCTGCAGATATTGGTGTCACAGTTCAAGTTCCAGTTCCTAATGTGGACAAAGGTCGCGGAGATGCTTGGAATATTTCAGCTGTTGTTACTAATGTAAACATAATTTATGAAATAACATATAGTTATTAATATTTTATAGTTTAAGATTATTTTAATATGTTTTCAGGTTACTGCCTATGGTTATTATTGTTTGGTAACTCTGGAAGGCTTACTGAAATCTTTATATTCCAGATCTCAGTTCACTATTTGCTAAAAAATATTACTGAGACACATGAAGTTCCAAACTTATTTGTAAAAAGAATAATATTTTATGTAATTCAAAATGTCATGCATCAACTGTATGCTGCAATAAATAAATTAAAATTATTAACATTTTTTGATTAAATAATATTTTAAATTCATACTTTACCTAAAGTAGCATTGGCATTCTTTAAAAATCCTAGGAATTTTATCGATTGCCTAGGCATTATTTAAAATAACATTACAATGTAATACATTGCCAAATGGTACAAGGAATTCTATAGAATGCCTATACTCAACACATTGCTGGTAACATATACATAAATTTGACACTACTTTAACATGCATTTTTATTTTTACTGATGTGTACACAACATTAGTGGTTTATAAATTAATTATATATATTTATTATGGTTCTGTAAAGTGAGTTTCAATGATGTATTATTAAATTAAAATTGAACTATAAGCATTACAATTTAGTTGACCATTGGGTTAAAACAATTACAGATATACATATATTACCTGAACAATGGCTTCTTCAGGAGAATAAGCTGGATTACTAAATATTGTAACACAGCTTAGTGTATGTCTATAACAGTTTTCAAAGTGTTGTAAAAGAGCAGGAACAACTAAGACATTTTTTGAATCAGAAAGGCTGTGTACCAGCAGGCGTGGAGCTTTTGCAACCCTCAGTCTAATGAAATAATAATTAATCAGTTATATAACTTTTATAATTAAAAATGTTAAGTATGATATGATTATTTTCTGTATTATTCTTATCAAGATTTTTTACCTAATATTGTTTATGATTATTCATATTTTCTTTTAGTGAAATTTAATAATTTAATAATATTTACACAGAATATTATACCATTTAAATAATTATGACCATAGTCTTAATTTGTTACTTGTACTCTATTCTTAATAAGAGCAGTCCTATCAGATAAGTGTTTAGTTTTCTGTTTTTTCCACTGCAATAATAACTACCAGTATCTAATCCCAAGGGAGTTAAAATCAGTTTCAAGTTACCCAATAAAAACAATAAGTTTTAAGTTATTTTTACATGTCATTTGTCAATATATGACTAATACAGAACTCCTATCTTTACTAATGATAAATGCCAAAGGATGTTAAATAGCACAATTATTGCCTCCTTTTAAAATATAAACAATTATCTTTCTTAATATGAAGCTGGAATATTTAAATTAAATAATTTATATTATTTGTAATAAAATAAAAGTTATTTGTTTGCAAAAAGTTATACATTACCTTTGGTTTGATGGTGAATTGAGTTCAGGAAATAGTTTACTAATATAAGATATCAAATCTTGCAGTGTGTTTTCATATAATGGGCGATAAATACTTGGAAGTTTTTTAGGATTAAGTACAACATTTCGCTCTGTAGTTGGTATAATTTTACTCATGGCCTTTTCAAAGTCTTCAAATATAACCTACGATTTATAATAAAACTATTAGAATCAAAATTATTTAAATACTAAATTCAATTTTCTTAATATGACCCATAACATTATTTTTAAATATTAAATTAACAACTGAAAATTATCATATGGTTAAATTTTGTTATTATTTTATTTTTGTAATATAATTACAAAAATAAAATACTATCAGGGTTATCAGATTGTAAACCCTTTCATATATTAATAAGTTTGCTAAAAAATAAATGTTGATTTTTTCTAGCAATTGTAGGTAACAATTTAATTAGTATAAGTATATAAATAAAATAAGAATAAAACTATCAGGCATACTAATATTATACACAACGTATTAATATCCTAATCATTGATTACCTATAAATAGTATTATACTACTTATAATAAATGCTAATATTAATATAATATTCTAAAATAATTAATAATTTTTTTAGAATATTTATGATAAATTAGAAAAATATTATAACAAGTTGATGTCCAACGTATATTAATAATTAGGTATGTACTTTCTTTGTTTTGTATTATATTATTAAACAGTTTTCTTTCATATTCTTTTTAAATATTAACGTACCTGGATTTTGTTAAGATCTAAAAGTAATTTATTAGATGTTTTGTAAATTTGTGGATATGTACGATTTAATGCTTGCAATACTGATTCGGAACACAAAGAATTCAAATCAGCACCTGTATAACCAACAGTTTCTTCAGCTAATTTTTTTAACAATTCATCTGAAAGTGGATTTTTCCACTTGGATATTATTATACGTAAAATCTGTAATCTGTTCTAAAAAAAAAAAAAAAAAAAATCGTAGTTTATGTATGGATCTTAAGTAAATATAATTGAATATTAATTTATATCAATCTATATTACTTTGTCTGTTGGAAGAGGAAAGTAAAGTTCCTTATCAAATCTTCCAGGTCTTCTAAGAGCAGGATCAATAGAATCTATACGATTTGTAGCTCCAATAACAATAACATCACCACGATTTTCCAAACCATCCATCATTGCCAACATAGTAGTTACAATACTATTGTGAACTTGGTCTTGTTTACCAGAACGAACAGGTACCAAACCATCAAGTTCATCAAAAAATATTATAGAAGGTTTCATTTCTTTTGCCTAGAAAATTAAATAAAATATTAAGTATCCATTTACTTCTAAAACATAAAAATAGTATAAGTAAAAATAAAATAAAATTTATTCTTAAATTGAAAAAAAAAAGATAATTGATTAGTTTAAAGACTTATCGATTACTTTAAGTTAAGCTCGTTTATATAATTCAAAATTTACCTAATTAATTTTTCCAATAAGATTATTAAGTATTATTTTATGTATATTAAATAAGTATTTAATCAATCATTAAAACAAATGTTTACCTTATCAAAAAGTAGTCTTAGTTGTCTTTCTGATTCGCCAACCCACTTGCATAAAACATCAGCACTTTTACGTACAAAAAATGAAACTTTTTGGCCACTTTTACTGCATTCATTGGCTAAAGCTCTGGCAAGTAGTGTTTTTCCAGTTCCAGGAGGTCCATGAAAAATCACTCCTTTAGCAGGATTTTGTTCGAACATTTCAAATACATCTTTATAAATCATAGGAAAAACCACCATTTCACGTAAACAATCTATATGCTCTTGTAAACCACCAACATTATGAAACCCAATGCCACTGTCTACGATAACAGGTTTAATATCTTCTAAAGCAGTTTTTTTTTTACTTTTATCATCTCTAGTATGACTTTTGGGTTTTTTTATGACTTGACTTTGATTGATAGTTTCTAAATCATTATCAGACAAGCTTGAGGAACTTGATTCAGATGAAGATGAAGCACGACGTTTCCTTGGCCCATTTACCATTTTTGAAGGAGTTTTTATAGCTCCTATAAATAAAATAATTAAATATTAGTAGTTAATAAATACAATACCAGATTGTAATACTCTATCAAAACTTAATTGACTTATCATTAGAACGCGGATTTGTATGCACTTAAAAGTATCAAAATATGCCATATAATAATATGCAGTAAAAATCATGATAATATGCAAAAAATATGCAAGAATTTATTATGTATTTAAAATGTATAATTCAACTTATAATAATTAATTACTTAAATACTTAATACAAAAAAATTTAGGGAATTTTCTGAACTTAATTTATTTTTAAAATTTTATTTATTATTAAAATGAATAATCATATGCATTTCAAGTTTATCTTTTGTGAAGCTGTGTCGTTTATCGGTTAACATATTTTTAAAGACTGAAAACGAACATTCAATGTCAATCGAAGTTATTAGGGCATATTTGAAGCAAGTGGTATGTCAATAACCGACTGACAAAGCAAGAGCAATTAAGTTTACGTTGTAATCAATTATTTGTTTTATAACTAAATATATATATATATAAATTATTATTTAGTGACTATGAAATTTAGTTTTAATTTTTCTACTTGACGAAATAATATTTTATACATTTTTTTTTTAAATTTTCACTTCAATATGCAATAAATTTTGAATTTTGCCAAAATATGCAATAACCTCTAAATATGCAGAAATATGAAAAAAAATAATTTTACCATTAGCTTCAAATTATAATTCGTGGAGATAACTGACAAAAATCTGAAAATATTGAAAGGAAAAAAATATGCTATTGCATAGAAATACGTGCTCTACTTATCATAATTAAACTGTTAATATATTAAGGTCCTAACTTAATATATTAATTTTCGGTAATATAATTACTATAAACATATTTTGGAAAATATATAATATGTATATAAATAAATAAATAAATAAATAAAAGCCAGAAAGTCATCAGACAAATAGCCTGGAGTATTATAATTTGTAAAGTTAAAAAAAAACGATGAAATTATGTTAAATATGTAATATGTTAACATTGAACCAGTTAGTAAAAACAACCAGGTAATTTAAATAAATTAAGATAAGCAAATTTTGTGAGTTATATAATTTTTTTCAATAGATATTTTTATTTATAAATATAAAAACATCAGTAAGAATAAAATACACTTTATTACTAAATTAACTAAAACTAAATATATATTTACCATGAAATGTGTAGTTTATAGAATTTTAATATTAACTTTAGTTTTTAAATAATGATAATTTAATAAATTTTTCAACTTTTTCTTAAAGTTTGAAAAATCAAGACTGTAATTGATCCAGTTTGGATACAATAGAACAGAACTAGACATAAGGTTAAATTAATAAATATTAAGAGATAACATAATACCTTGGGGATGAAATTAGCCAAACCAGTAGGTGAAAAAAAATATAAATAAAAAAAAACTAAATAGAAAAAACAAATACTAAATTGTTAACATAAATATATTAATTTAACTGTTAAAAATTTATAATCTATAATTTTTTTTTCATCGTTTATTTAAGTAATTATTATGATTGTTGTGCAACACAAAATTGCTAAAATAATTTTAGGCCGAAAAATTGAAAAAACATATTCTAAGCTGATAATTTGATTCAAAATATATAACTTACTTGTATTACTTTCAGTATGTATTTGAAATCTCTGAACTGTAGGCTTAACCTTACGTAAACTGTATCTGTAATACCTAGGTCGATTAGATGGTCTGATGCTGCATTGTTTTAATCTAATAGTTCTCCTTTTCTTTTTAACATTCAACTTATTGATGGATGTTAAATAATCTTCAATATTGCTCAAATTATTTAATTCTTCTGAACTCATGGACTCATCACTACTTTGTTCAGTAGTAACTATAATATTAAAATTGTATAAAACTCATGACCTGTTAATAATATAAATTAACACTTACTAGGTTTAGTTTGATTTGATCTTCGTGTTCGTTTAATACGAGTGTATAAATCTTCACAATCTACGTTTGGATGATCATTAGATTTATCACTAGCTTCAGCTACAGCTCTTCGTGTTCTTGGACGACTTTCATTTTTTTCAGATACAAAACTTAACATTTTTTTATCATGTTGTTTTGAATTACCACTTTGCATTGGAGCAATGATTTCTTCTTCTTGTTGGATTTCTTGTTCATTAGTATTATTATCAGCTTCATCTTCTTCTTCTTCATCATCTACAACTACTTGTTTCAATCTAAGATTTCTGGTAATTCTACGTGGAACTAAAAAAGAAATTAGTTAGAATAATATAATAAATAACATATTTAACATTTATTAATAAAATAAAAAAAACAATAAAAAGTAAAGCTTACCATTTTCTTCTACATTTACCATGTTTGGATAACCTTTAAGTGACTGAGAACCGACAATCCAGGTATCACTATAATTCTCATATTTTAACTTCCGCTTTCTTGTACTTCTTCTAGTTCCTTCTAAATATATAGAAATAAAATATAAAAATTAAGTTTTCCCAATGCAATTGTTATTGTTTTTACCTATGTTATTTGAATCATCTCCTTCATGGTGACTACTTTCATGTGAATGATGCAATGATGAAAATTTTGATCTTAAAACAGACAATCTTATAGTTAAATGTATGTAAGTATTTTATAATATAAAAGTATTATATTTCGTTTTACCTAGTATGGACTACTGGTGTGAAAATTTGATCATCATCCGATTGGTCAGATTGACTAGTAATTCTACTTCTGTTTCTCATTATTCACCTAGAAAAGCAGAAAAGCTGTAACAATTAATTGTACCATAATAATCTGTAGATAATAATGGAAGGAAACTTAAAAGCAAATTAAAAAACATATTATTGTTCATTGATCGAGGTTATAATTTGATTTTTAAAGAAAAAAAGTAGTAAAATGAAGAAAATTTAAAAATTAAACTAGTTGCGTTTTATTTTACATTTTAGTGCGATTTAGGGTTCTTAATCGCATGAATACTGGACGCAACGGAAAAGCGTAGAATAAAAAAAAACCAACGAACTCGTCCACGCGCTTTAATTATCCGCAGGATAACATTGTCTACGGAAAGACTGATCGGTGATCAAGTCATATATAATTTAAGCCGTTGAAGAACGATGATAAGGACAACGGGGTAAAAAGTTAGAACGGGGATGGAAGGGGAAGGTTTATGTCTCGTAAAACCCTTTAAAACGCAGTGTGACGGGAAACTTCTAAGGCGAAAGTCGAACACGAGGCGAGGGGGGCGAAACTGTTGCAGGAACACAACTGGCAGGAGAAATTGGCGCGTCGAGGAGGTATTATTGTTGAATCGGAACGCCGCGCGAACGCAACAATGGTACACATAACCTACACGGCGCGCGCGTTTTTACGCGGTCTACAACAACGCAACTCACTCGTCGTCTGACGCTTCCGAACACGTTGCCCGCCACGCAGAGAACACGGGAGTCCGGTGTAAGCGTGCGGTATCGAACGGGACACTAGTCGGGCGCGGTAAGGTCCCTAAAACGGTACCGTTCGCGAGCTGGCTGCGACGGCGATAATGTCATCGACGAGGGTTGTGTTCGTATGGGAGACGAAGACTCGACGGTATTGCGGTTGATGCGCCGTTGTAGCTGATCAGCAGCCCAGTTGCCGTGTTTGGTTCGCGGATGGTGTTATTGTTTTTGGTATTTAATTGTTGTTTATCCCCTTTCTAACACGCTCGATGTCTTTAACGAACGTCTCCGCGGAGAACGACGGACGGAATTCCCGGTAGACGCAAACGTGGTAGCGGTAGGGGCTGAGAAAACGGGAGGGGGAGACAACGACCTAATGAAATAACGATTAGCCGAACAAAAACAACGAAAACAGCTGGCGGTGTCCGAGAGACGTTTTTCGCTCCACACCGTGGCCAACCTGCCGCAGTGGTTTCCTTATCGGAAACGATAACAAGTTTCCTGCAAACATATTATCATCATGTCGTTATCACTACAACTAACCGAGATAATGGCTCTATGATCATTTCCGACAAGTAGAATCTCGTAGTATGGCGTAAAATGTAATCTTGCTTTGTGCATGAATCATTTTCCCCAGAAATTTTTGTTTTCCGTTTCGTTTCGATGTCATTAGATCTCAAAAGCACGGTTCACCGCTGAAGCGTCTCGACGGCCAACGCTTGCCGATCAGCAGATAGTTGGTATTTTCAGTCATTGATACATTGAAATTTTCGCGACCAATGCTTTATTTTTAGACGATTTCACATGTAAGTTTGTAACCTTGTTTGTATTACCACAGATATCGTACGTCCTACAAGATTCCAGCATCATGTTTGAATTAAAAATAAGCTGACATTAATTAAAATACCGCGCTATGGCTTTTTTCATGCATTTAAGCCGTGAAGAATATTCAGAATTTGTTTGCGGTTGTGGAGCTGCTATTATCAATGTTGGCATTACCTTTCCTATAAACAAAGTCATATTCAGACAGGTATTATTTTATGTCATATTTTTCAATGAGCATTCCAGCTACATGGTATCAAGCTATATTTCTAAGTGTATGTTGTATGTTTAGTATTGTAAAATAATATTAAGAATATTAAAAACTTAACCTCTTCCTTATTTTGTTCTTTTTAAGATAATACAAATTAATAGTCAGTTGATATAGTCTTAAGGTTATTTTACTGGGTTTAATATGAACATTAGAAAATTACTATTTCTTGATAATTAGTGATATTTAATTGAAAACAAATCATATTCATATTTTTTTTCTGCATTTTCTTGTGTTACGTGACTTTTAAAGTTTTTAGTGTCTTGATGTTTATGAACAGTTATTTAATTTAAGAAAAAATTGTTATTATACATTAGACAATATTTATTTGATATAAATCTATTTACTTTTTTAATCAACAATTAGGTACATTTCTTATATTCATGTAAAAAATACTTATAAGAAAAATAATTATCTTTAAACTTAGTGGTATAATAATCATTAGTTTTTCCAGGTATAGATGATATTTTTTAAATACAAGCATAATATAAATTACATTAAAATACTTATTAACTATTTGAATATTATAGTATTACAATTTAGGATGGACAAAAAATAAAAATTAACCTATATTGTCTCATAAACCAATGACTTAGAAGAAAAATGTAATGACATATTAAGCCAACTATTTTTTACAAAATTATGCATGTTAACTATAATGAAGTATACAAATCTAATTAACTTTCCATATTGTCAAGTTACCATGTTTGACTTAAACTTTAAAGATTAGTTATACTAATTACAACAATAATTTTTTTCTTTTTTTTAATTATTGAGTTTCTTTTATTTTAATGTATAATATGTTGTATTCATGAAAATAATTGTCTCTTGAATGACGTACTGTTAGTTCTTACTTAATCATTACTTAATATATTTAAAAAGCATTTTCTTGGCATCTTTGTAATTGTTCATAATACTTCCTATTATTTTAAATTAATATGTTGACTATTTTATCAAAGTATAATACATAGTATTATCTTAACATATTTTTTGATCTGTTACAATAAACTTTTACAAAAAAATTTTTTCAGCTATTAGTGTTGAATATATAAGTTTCAAAATATACATAAAAAATACAAATTGTTAATCTATGTTTTATTGCTATATTTTCTATTATTCTGTATGTTAAATAAATGTTAACATTAATATTTCAAAATTTTACTATAACTCATATTAAAAGAAAAAAAAAATTAGCCTCATTTTGGTAAAATTTACATTATGTATAGTCTATAATAAAGACATAGTCATAATATTTTTTATTTTCATATTTTATTTATTTCATAAAATGATAATTTTTAGAACTGCAAAGTGGCAATAATCATCAGCACCCATCTACAGAAAATACTAAAAACAAAATATTAAATTGTACCTAACGTGTGTTATTTTTGTTTGTTTAGTGGTAATGTCTAAATTAGCTTGTTAAATTATTGTTTTTCTAATTATATAACTTTATTTGTATGTAAATTATTTTTATTTTATTTATTTCAATTTAACTTATTATTTTTAAATGAAACTATTTTATGTTAATTGTATTGATCATGTTTAGTATCTAGTATTATAAACTAAATTAACTACATTTTTTTTATACAATCAATAGATATAATATAATTTGCATAAAAATATTTGTTTATTTAGGCTTTAATGTCAGTATTTCCACAGTAAAAATATTAAATTAATGTCTTTTAGTAATTTAAGTATTGTATTACAGAGTCTCTTTATGTTTGATTATTACAGGACTTTTAAAATATAAATTCATAATTTACATAAAAAAAAAAAAAATGTCTAAATTTTATGAAACATCTACTTTCTGCTAAAACCAATTAACTATCTTCAAATTGCTTTTATCATATGCTGATTCCCACTCTACTCATAATTCTTCTAACAGCTTTTTAATCCGTCCTTCCATCATTGTCACTATCTTTCTCTATGTATTTGTCATTGCTTTTTCATTAAACTCACATAAGTTATATCGTACTTAACCATTCTAATTTAATGTTTTTAATAAACTGAATAGCTTTTTTATTTTTTACTCCCTATAAATTAATCATTAGTCTTAACCTCCTATTTCTGTTCAACATTATTGATTATGGGTCAATATATTTCCTAAGAACTTGTCGTCACTTCTTGTTGTTTCACAGGTAGTGCACACTTGTGTCAATCAGATCTAATATAATATATATAATTGTTTTAAGTTTATTTATTTTTTTGATTATATCTTACAATATAAATAATTTTTTCATTGTTAGCAGCACTCTTTTTTTTTAATTTCTCTGTATGTATTATTTTGACTATTTAGAGTGATTTAAAGACTAAGAATTTAAGATCTTACACTTGTTCTAAAATATAATTTCCAAAATATATTATATAATATATTAATATACTAAATATATTATTATATATATAGTCTCTTTGATTCCTCATGTATTTAGTTTTGTTATTATTGACATCTTTCATTTTTCAGTTTTCTTATGATCTTCTGAATCTTCTTGATTTCTCAATGAATACTATATTATGTGCTTACACATATAAAATGTTTTCTTCTTAAAGATTAAATATTTAATTTGTAAGATTTTTTTTATTATACTAAATCATTAAATTATTGTATATTGACAATAATGCATTTCTGTATATTTATCATAAAAGAAGATGAAGCTCTTTCATTATCTTAGTTCTAATAAACTTTCCACAGTATTTTTATCAAATTAGAAAAATAATAATTGTTCAAATTTAATTTCTATTTTAATTAATTTTAAAGATTATTAAATCCTTAGCAAAAAAAAATATTGAGTTCCTATATAATTTATTTACAAATTATATACCTAGAATATATTAAATACTATAAAAAAAAAATTGTTTCCATTTATTATTTATTTTAATTAAATTTATTTTAGATGTTACATGGAGTAGGCCTTAGAAATGCAGCTTCTCAACTTGTGAATGAAGGATTTTCTACACTTTATCGAGGAATTGGCCCACCATTACTTCAGAAGACAATCTCGACATCATTAATGTTTGGGACTTATGATGCAATTCAAAAACCACTTTTGGAGTCTGATTTAGACTCTAGATTAGCTAAAGTTATTGCAGCATTAGTAGCTGGAACAGCAGAAGCCTCATTAACTCCATTTGAACGTATTCAAACACTACTTCAAGACAACCACTATAATAAAAATTTTATCAATATGCGACATGCAATAAAAGTGATTGCCCATGATTATTCCATTTCTGAATTTTACCGTGGTCTTACACCAATTTTACTACGTAATGGGCCCTCCAACATTTCTTTTTTTTTCTTACGTGAAGCTGCTAATTCTTATATAGTCATTACTCCAACAGCATGGACTGGCTATAAATTTTTTAAAGAGTTTTTAACTGGTGCATTTATTGGTGCCCTAAATAGTGCTCTATTTTATCCTTGTAATGTACTCAAAGTGCATATGCAAAGCAACTTGGGTGGTCCATTTCAAAACATTAAAGATGCAGCTATTGAAATTTATCGTGAACGTGGTAATAAAGTGTCATATTTTTATCGAGGAGTTCACATGAATTATACAAGGTCATTTGTTAGTTGGGGTGTAATTAATGTTGCTTATGAAAATTTAAAATATTTTTTAGTTAAAAATTAAATGTTTCTTTGAATTAGATAAACTATTTTATTTTTAAATTGTTTGAATCGCCCAATTATTATACGATTATGTTATAAAATATTTATTTTACCTTGCTTAATAAATATTAAATTATTTAAATGTATTCTATTTATTATAAAGAGTATTCAACTATAATAGTATAATTAAAAAGTTTTATATTTTAGTTAAACTATATATAAACTCAATCAAATTTTCAAAAATGTAATCTAATAAACGTTTCCATAATAATTTGGTTAATACAATTATCTGTTCTTATAATATATCCTACCCTACTCTTATAACTTATTAATTAAGATTTTTGTCTTTAAATTATTATTGTATACATATTTTTTCAAGTTACTTTCAAAATTATTTGTAAAATTATAATGCATATAAAAAATATGTTGTAAATTCATAATATCTAAAATCCCTTGGAAGTCTACTACAGATTATTTTATTGAATATGAAGTAAAGTTTTATAAGCACTTTAGAATAAAGAAGGTTAATGTAATAGTCCTAATATTTTAATCATTTTACCATTGAATAAATACTTATTGTTTGTCAATTAGTTGTAAATAACTTATTTCTTTGCTTCGTATTTTTATTTAGACATCCTAATTAATTATAATGTTGAAATTCCTTATGGAGCAGACCTAATTCATTTTTATTGGAATTTTTATTTTTATCAAATTTAAAAAACAAATTAAATTTCATCATTGAAAAATCATAATTACTAAATACTAGCTAACCCAACAAACGTTGTTTTGTAATTATTGTGTTTTGTTATTTTGAAAAAAATAACTTATTTAATAATAAGTGTGTAAGGATGTGGTATATAAGTGAAAGAGTATACCTCTTTTAATTTATTAAAATTCATCCTTTAAAATTATATATATCTCTAATTATGATTGTCATAATAGTACAAAACAATATCAATCCCTTAATGCAACAGAGGGTACAATATTTTTTGTTATTCTATCTTTCGCCAACACAAACAAACTGGATGGTTCGAGAGCACGCCAAGTATAATTGTCCATGTGAAAAACATGATGTGCTCAAATCTAAGCCACAGACAGACAGGGGCGTATTTAGACTTACTTCTAGGGAGGGCGACTCAAATTTTTTCTTTTATTCAGGCTCAAAATTTACAAGTAAAATTTTTGGTAATATATCAGTTGAATTCTTAATTTTTTTGGTTTTTTTTTTTTTTTAATGTAATACCGGATCCACTTAGAATGGCCTTTTGTGTAGTTATTTTTTAACACTATCTGTGTTTGAAAGTTTCGCTTGTGTTTTATCTAATTTTTCACTAAGTATGGACTGGGTCTTCAATCAAAATAATATATATTATTTATCGTTATGGGACATATAAAGCAATTGAGCTTTAAACGCTATAACTAATTTAAACATTATTCAATTTAAGCGTTTAAACGTTTAAAAAATTTTCTGTTTACCGTTATTGACAATTAAAACGTTAAGAAAAATTTAGCGTTTTGCGTTATTTAAATTAATGTAAAATTTGAAACGTTTTCAAATGTAGCATCTAGTTTCAAATGTACTATAAAATAAATCATAATGTTTTCTTTCATCATATTTGTTTCTTAATAAAATACCCATTACTTATATAAAAATTCTCGAGGGGGGGGGCGATTGCCCCCATTCCCCCCCTCAAATACACCACTGCAGGCAGACATCGTTTGGCCTTGAGACTAATTGATAGTCATTGCAAATGCCAATCTAATTGGAAATTGAAGGCGTTTAAATTGTATTAGCACATCTGTGGATTTAATAGGGATTCGCGGTAATAATATATTTTCATCTCGGAATTTGCCATTGAAAATGATGACTTCGATAACATTTTTCATTAATTTTTTAATGACTAATCGCATGCCGTTGCACAACCATGGTGAGTTCAAATTAAGATGGGAACAGACTATTGTCAGGTCACGTGAACTCACGTGCTGTCATGTTGGCACATTGAATCCAAGATATCACGCTTAGAAATAAACTATAGTCACATTATCATGTTATACTTTATCATGTCACAATTTAGTACCTAGTCACTATGTTGAGGTATAAGGTGTATACTTAAAGTCTCTTACACAAGTTTTTTTTTCTTAAGTAAAATTAAAATGGAAATAGTAACTTCGAGTAGTTCAGAGTGGGAAGAGGAATTAGAAACTGCAGCTGTTTCTGCAGTTTTGGACGAACAAAATAAAAAATCCACCCGATCGTGCTGGGTACACGATATTAATAAAAAATGGTCAACATTGGAAGAATCCTATCGTCTAGTTCAAGAACTACGGAACGATCCAAGACAATTTCATATGTGTTTCTGAATGACGAAAGAAGAATTTGATTATATACACGACATTATTAAAAAAATATATTTTTCTAAATAGACCAAATTTGTGATGACACGTGAGTCGAAATGTATGTGAAGTTTGAAAATCAAAACGTGCTATCACGCGTGAGCTAGAAAATGTGACGTGACAAGCATGAGGTGATATTAGTGTGGCGCTGACACATTAAAATACTGTATAAAATTATATCCCACATTTTTTTTCCGTGACGTGATAACATGTGACGGCACGTGGGCTCACGTTACGTGACAATAGTCTGTTCTCACCTTTACGAACCAAAATAATCGGAGATCCAACCTTCAGTTGTAAATTATGCGGTGGCTTGCCTGGTAAATCCAATGAGTTTAAAAATAACTATAGATAATTTACAGCTTCAGTAGCATCGCAAACTGTATCAATATATTTGTATGACACTAAGTCTCCTGGTAACAAATGTTGTATCTTGAGATTCAATTCGTTGACGTCCACATTTTTTGCTACTATAATTGCTCTTTCTGCCAACCACTCATGATTTGTATATTGTCTGTGTACATTGGGAAATATCTTATCAATGAGAATATCTTACGAATCAATGATTGTGCAGAAATCGGTCGACAATTGAATGCATCCCGTTTTATCTGTTGTAACTTTCCCATCATCGATATCTAGCAATTGTTATGAGAATCTTCCACGCTCAGCTTTTTTTGATTGAATCGCAAGATCGAAATCGTTCGCTCTCTATCTTTACATACATGTCGACCAAGAATTGTTGACAAAGCTCACGACATCGTAGAATATCCTAACCTATCATCAACCGATATGCATAATAATCCTTCGAACTAACATTCTTGTTTGTTTTGACATCTGTTGCGGGATCTTGTTGCTTAATATTTATGTAATACTCGTCATTTAATACTAAAAATAAAATTAATAGTTTCATTTAATAATTTTCAATAGCGCAGTTATCGACCTGGTCAAATAATATTAAACCGTTTTCAACCCTTTAAATTCAAAATTTCGAAAAATCCTTTCTTAGCGCACGTCTACATCATAATAGCTATCTGTATGCCAAATTTCAGCCAGATCCGTCCAATGGTTTGAGCTGTGCGTTGATAGCAGTCAATCAGCTTACTGTTTTATATATACAGATAAAATTATAATATAATAATATAAGGGATTTATAACAATAGATAATGCAAAGAAAATTGTTTTTTATCGTTTTATTAAAATTTAATACACATACATTTTTTTTTATAAATTAATCTCAATTTGTTTTCTTTTAATCAGTAAAAAACATCTATGAGAAACTTTGTATTTAACTTGCAAGAATTTTTGTCAAACCTCAATTATTAAATTGATAATTTTAGAAATAAGCTAAGAAAACATGAAATTTTCAATTTCTGAATAGCTTAAAAAATTTAGATATCTGTATTAAACAGTAGTTAACAATTAGGATAATTAAAGTAATTAAGGAAAACAATTCAGTGGAAATTTCAATTTCTTACAATTATTATTTTTTTAATTAAGGAGAAAACAATTTTCAATTTTATTGAAAACTGGTATCTTGTTTTCTATAACTTTTCGTTAGTTTTTCTCAATTATTTCACTATTAAAACAATTTAAATTATAGTTGTTTTTTAAAATTAAAAACATTTAAGTAATAAAAAAAAAAAATAAATAAAAAATTGCACTTTTAATTAGGATGAAATTTAAAAATTGGTTGTTTTTCATGAGAGCTTCTTTTATACTATTGACATGATATTGACAGTTTTTATCATAAAGATCCGTGTATTTTAATAATTATTATATAATATAAATTATTGCTCTTTAAAAGTATATAATGATTAATAAATATATATATATATATATATATACTTTTAAAGAACAATTTAATCACAGGTTCAATTATGGTACATAATCAGGTAAATTTTGACAATTTACGATAAATTTACATATTTACCTATAATTTAACAAAATAGACAAAATAGAATAAACTAATTTACTTTTATATACCAATTTGGCATAGAGCATTATAAACATTGAATATTATAATTATTATAATGTGAGCTCCTTTCAAATTGTAATATACGCAACTTAACACATATGTTATTAGTCGATCTCTTATCAGTGGTAAGGAGTTTAGTTTTCGAGAGCTATCTGTCTAATCTACAGACATGTTTATTTAATTTATATTCACATTAAATTGTACAACATATTGCATTAAAATCTATGTTTATAATTTTATTTTTTATTCTGTTTTATCTACTAATGCAAATCAATTCTTGAGAATGATGTAAGAGTTCCATCAAAATTAAAAAAAAAACAAATTTTCAACAATTGAGACGCTAGATGTAAAATATATGTATGTCCATAACAATGCCAATTAATTAAATATCATACACAATATTTATTGGTACATAATACATATTAAATATGTAAATATTTTAGAGAAAGTTATGACTGAAATTAAAGATAACATATTTTGGCCAATTGTTTATAGAAAAGAGTATAATGTAACATTTTTTGGACTTGAAACTTTGCATCCTTTTGATTCAAAAAAATGGGGACACATATTTAAAGTAAGTTTTAATAACACGTTTAATCTAATTATTCATTCTGCATTACTGTGTTAATCACAGTTTTGTCTTATTAAGTTTGAATGTTTAAAAAAAATAATGTTTTCTATTTATAAGTAGCCCTTAATCTGAATATTAATTGTTTCGATATTTATTAGGAAAATTGTTCATTTAATCTAATTAAATTTAGGGAAACTAAAATTAAAGATTTTATTTGATAGCAACTTCAACATTTGTTGCAAGAGATATTTTTTTTATTTTATTACAAATCTATTTGGCGATAAAAATAAATATAGTTTTATATAGGTATTTCAAAATTTTAAAGATTTTAATGGAATTATTTATTTTTGCTTTAACTATAGAAAAAATAAAATTTTTTTATTTCCTTGTACAGTTTAAATAACAGTACACTATTTGTAGTACAATATAGTTATATATTTATATTATATATTATATTTTATATTATATATATATATATTATATTATATTTATACAGTAGAATCTTGATATCTTCTGTTTGTGAAATTAAACCTAATATTTTATAACATAGATTATTAATGTCCATAAATTACAATTCTTTCTATCTTTTATATAGTTATAGATAATTTTACAATATGTTTTATTGCCTATAATTCTTAACCAATACTAATTTGTTTAGATACTTAAAAATACTTTGGGCTTAGATCAAAATAACATATATGTTCCTGATGAAATTACAGAAGAGGAACTACTTACGATTCATAGTGCAAAATACCTTAAAAGTTTGAAAGTAAATAGGTTTTATTATTAAATAAAAATATAATTTGTCAAAAATAATTATAAATAAAAATTTAAATATACTCAAATGATTTTTTTTTTAAGTTTGTATAACTACTTCATTACAAACTTCCATATTCTCAAAAATTATTATTTTTCAAATAAATTTACCTTATAATTTACATTTAAATAATTAACAGTGGAGTTATGTTGCTGCACGCATATCAGAAATTCCTGTGGTTGCTTTACTTCCTAATTTTTTAGTTCAGAGACAATATTTAAAACCATTAAGGTAAACAAACTCAAATTTAGATACTGCACATATTTTAAGTAAATTCAATAGAATTATTTTCAAGCAATTTAGATTTCAGGTTAGTGGTACAAGGCTAGCTGGTGAAGTAGCTCGAAAAGAAGGAGTCGCTATTAATTTAGGTGGTGGTTTTCATCATTGTAGTAGAGATCGTGGTGGAGGGTTTTGTCCATACGCAGACATTACATTAGTTGTAAATGATGCTTTGCAAGAAAATAACTGTAAATTAGTGATGATTATTGATTTAGATGCTCATCAGGTTAGTAAAAAAAATTAAAACTATTTATACGGTTTCATATCTTATACATTTTTAAAGGGCAATGGATATGAAAGGGATTTTATGGGAAATTCAAAAGTATTTATTTTTGATGTATTTAATAAAAATATTTATCCAAAAGATGTATATGCAGAAAGAGCTATATCACGAGCTGTGAAATTGGACTACTTTGTACATGATTATGAATACTTGACCTCAGTTGATTGGTAAAAATAAATTATTTGAAAAAACTTATACGTAATGTAACTAATGTATATATATCATTAATATATTATACAGTATAAATATATAGTAAATTAAATAGTTATTTTATTTATAGATTATGTAATTTTATTAAATTAAGACGTGACGTGAAATTAATCTATGTATACTATAAATTTACACTTTGATTTGTACTCATACTTCCTACTTCTTAAAACCATGTAATTTATGCACTTGCAATTTAATGTATTTTAAGTTTGTTATAGTATAACCTTGCATGGTGAGTTTGACTTTTCTTCTTTAATACCTATTTTGATATACTGTTATAACCCATGGCTATATTTCACTTTAAATGTAAAATTAAACTATTATATATATTTTAAATAATAAATATTAATTATCTCTATTATTAGTAATTACTTTATATTACATTATTGCACTATTATAGAAATGAAGAATTTTCAGTTTAACAATTATAAAATTATTGTTTAGCTGATGTGATGATTAGAATTTTGTTCTTTGTTAAATTTAAAATTAAATTAGTATAATTTTTATTGTTTACTGTACTTCTTGTTCAGAGTAATAACTAATGTTTACATTGTTTTAATATGATTTACGTGAACAATTGTGTAAATATAATTCCATCTATTCATTTGAATAAACAATTATTATTATTATTATTATCTAAAATACAATAACAATTAATAAAATAAAAAATTAATATTTATTTTTAGTGCTTTGAATGAATCATTTCTGAAAGTTAAACCAGATTTCATCGTTTATAATGCAGGAACAGATATTTTAAAAGGTGATCCGTTGGGGTTACTCTCCATTACTCCAGAGGCAAGTTTTAGTTTAATAACCTACTTAAATAATAGAAAATCTTTTGGACTAATTATTATTACTACTAACTAATACAACTTGAATATTATATTAATATGATCTATGGTAAATATTTATAGGTAGATGTATAATACTAATTAATAAAAAATTAATGTACACAAAAAAAAAACAGCTATTGAAATTTAAAAGACGACCTTCCAAATGCACCAGCTGTAGACTAATTTTGATATCAAGAAAAAAGATGATAATATAATTTGATCCCGTAGTTTACGAGCTAAACATTATTCATTAATTTTTAAAAAAATTTTAAATTTACAGTCAAAATATTTTTCAAATAACATTATATTTTTAATACCTATATCATTATCATACATTATTAATAACCTATATATAATATGAATATTAATAATTAACATAATTTACTATAAATATTAATTAGTCAATTGAAAATATTCTGCAATAATATAATATTAAAATACAACAAAAATAATATATGTAGATATAACTGTATGATAATTGGATAGAAATTGTAGTAATAGCATTGATTATACCACAAAAATACAAAATTAAGGTGCTATCAATGATTAAATATATAATAAATATACATTTTATCAATAGTGCTGTTCAATGAAGTAAATTATAGTAATACATTACATCAAAACATTTAAAAGTTGGTTTAAAATTAAAAATTGGAAGTTGAACAAAATAAAATCAGAAACACTTTTTTCAAAAAATTTTAAAAAAGGATTAAGTTATGCCTATAAAAAATCTATTGACAACTAAAATTTAGAAAGTAGATTCTGGACTTGAATTTTTAGGTGGAAGTACATTTTAGTTAAAAATCATTAATATTTATCAAGAAAACTATATTTATTTTATGATAAAAGAAACAAGTAATAGCAAAAGGTTTTTGTATGAATACTTGCTTTTTTTTTTTTAAAAAAAATGTTAAAAAAATTAAAATATAAAATGTTGATCAATGGTTCCAATAGTAGTCAAGTGGATCAGTTTTTATTTCTAAAGATGCTTAATATAGTACCTTATAAAACTGAATTTTTTAGTAAGGTTGGTTGAACTTTTAATCGAAAGTATCATGTGTTTATAATCAGTACAAATATAATTGAAATACTTCAAAAATTATGAAATTTCTATAAAATGGTAATATAAGTACTCAGTAAATATTTTGAGTCAATATTTATAGAAAACAATCAAACAACTGTTATTGTATTATGGAAATTTGTTTAAATACTCGATTTCTTCAAAGTTGCATTTTTTAACGTTAATAAAACTGACGACTTAAAAATATTAATTTATTAGTTACTAAAAAATTTTATAAAAAATTGTTTATACAATATTTTCTATAGTCTACAATACAGATTCTATATAATGTTATCTAATTGTGCGTGAAAAATTCTAGACGATCTTCGAAACTACATCTACAATGAATTTTATTTTAACTTTATCAACGTTTTTCTCAATTCAAAAAATAATTGCCTCAAAACTCCAACTAGACATCAGAAACTTCCCATTATTGCGATGATCAAAGCAATCCTGATCGAGATCGTCTAAACAGAAACAAAAAAAAAAACACATGGTGAAACCAATACATTCCTCATTTCAATAAAAATCGAATATATATATATATCACTTATATTATTATATTAATTTTGGTGATAATGGATGATTACTATCGTTACCAATTCATAATAAGTCTATTATGAATATAAATATAAAATATATATAAAAATATTAAAATATATTTAAAATCAAAATTAAAAGGGGGCGTAGTACCTATATAAATAATACTTTTAATATGTACAACAATATTTTAAGGCCTGTATGTTATTGGATATAATGGTGTTGTTCCGTTTTCTTATATTAAATTTATTAGTGTAATTTAGGTATGGCTTTTTGTCAATAAATAAATTAAAATTAGGAATGGTAAACAATGTAAAATAAAACCTCTTTTGATTATTATAATTTAAAATCACTAGTAAATGAAAATCATAATTATCTGTATCTACTAAATACTGTTGATAAAATTATTATATTAGTAATGATAGATGCTAAAAAATTTTTATTCTCTTTAAATAATTTAGAATATTAAATTTTAGGGAATAATACAAAGAGATGAAATGGTGTTCAAATTAGCACGGCAAAATAATATACCTTTGGTTATGTTGACATCTGGTGGCTATCAAAAGACTACTGCAAATATCATAGCAGCTTCGTTGCAAAATCTAGTACAACAAGGACTAGTTAAACCTTCTTGTATTAAATAATACATGATGTAAATTATAAATTGTATTATTGTTCTGTTAAATAATGAAGGATGTTCTAAAAATCTGAACACAATGCAAATAATATTGTTGAGTATCTGTGATAAAGCAATGCGAAGGAATATAAATAACAAGTCTGTATTTTAATATTCTTTACATTTTGATGATAATTATATATAAAAAAAATGTATTAAACCATTAAGTTAAAAATTTAAATCATAATTTATTAAAAATGTTATAACATTTAAGTAGGTATCTTAATCTACTTTTAGATGTCTATATTGTAACCATTTTTCATGTTTAGATAAAAAATAATTGTTATTATATGTTTAAAGGACCGTTATAATTTATTGTATCAATAAAGATATTCTGAAAAATAATTTGTCTTATTATTGTTCTTAATTTTTGATGAAAAAACAAAAATTTGTTAGTTAATATCTATTCCAGCTGTTTCCAAACTTTTTCGGATCACGTATCAACAGAATAAAAAAAAAAAAATTAGTTGCGCCTCCTACAAATAAATAAAACAAATTTATTTATTATTTAAATATAAGCATATTATTATTGATCTAAAAATAAATATATGGTAGTACAATATACAACATAAATATTTGCTTGGCGTCTCCCCCAGTAAGTGCTCACTTTCCAAGAGAGGTGCGCTTCACAGTTTGGGAACCGCTACTTACTCAATAGACTATTTTAGTAGGTAACAAATACTTGTCAAAAACACTGTGACATACCAATATTGTAATTTGTACATCTATTCTAATATACATAACCGAAAATATTTAATAATAAAAAAATTGTATACATATTTAATAAATATTATTTATACATTATGTTGGATGTATTTTTTTACTTCGTTTGTTGACAATGTGCTTACGCTAAGTGTCAATCACATGGCATTTTTAATATGATTTTTTTCTCTTTTTTTTATTTTCAGTATACAATTTATTTGGTCTTTATTGTGATTTATTTTTAACAATGACGGATTGGATTTAAATAGTATTAAAAATATGTGTTATTTGAGCCTGAAAGTATTATAATTTTAAAATGTTTGATACTTTGGTACGTGTTGTTGAATTATTATATTATTTCATTATAATCTTCTAAATTATACAAAATTCAAATTTCAATGATTAATCATTCGTTTACGCCATACGGTGAAAATTATCATTTTTGTTCCGGAAGGCTTTCTCCGCTAATTCGTTACTATTCTATAACCGTTTCTAATTAGTCTAACCGTAGCCTCATCTGACGACCATACGAATACAGAAGTTAAAATTACCTGTTTACTGGTTAATATGTGAGCGAGTGCGTGCACGTTTGTTGTGTTGTGTTATGTGCGGTGGACAAAAGAGTACATTGACATTGGAATATAATTGAGTTTTGAGTATTGACTAGACTATAAATGAGTTTTTAATACAACTGGTCTCCATTACCAAGAAGACTGTCAACAGAAACAAAATCAAATGATATAATAGTACACTGCGCTAGAACGTCGAAGACTATTTCAAGCTATAACTATGATGCGGGGAACATTTCTTTTTCTGGCATTGGTGATTTTAAGCCTGACTACATACCTAGGTAATTATTATATCTGCATATCTATTCATATATAAGGACAGCAGAATAACATAAATGTACCTAATATCGAAATAAAAATTGTCAATTGCAGATTGTGGGAAAGTCGTTTGCTATTTCAGCAATTGGGCTATTTATCGACCTGGAATAGGCAAATACACTGTAGACGACATACCAGTCAGTGATTGCACTCATGTTATATATTCTTTTACTGGAGTAGACAACACAACTTGGACCTTGAGTATTCTCGATCCAGAAGTAATTTCATGCATTTTTATTCCACATATTTGTTCTTAATTATTTACATGTTAAGCCGATTTATTTTAGATTGACGTAGAACAAAAAGGTTTCAAGAATTTTACGAGTCTTCGAAAAAACTATCCAGATGTCAAGTTTATGGTAGCCGTTGGTGGCTGGGCAGAGGGAGGCAAGAAATATTCTACTTTAGTTTCTTCTCCGAAAAAACGGGCTATTTTTATCAGTAGTGTAATAGGTTAGATATTAACAACTACACTCTATTAATAAAACAAACATTTTATAATTAAAAATAATTTTGTATAGAGTTCCTTATTAAGTTTGGTTTTGATGGCTTTGATCTTGATTGGGAATATCCTGGAGCAACCGATCGGGATGGGGCTTATTCGGATCGTAATAATTTTTATTATTTTGTACAAGAGTTAAGATCTGCGTTTCAAAGTTATAATCCTTCTTGGGAGCTTACTATGGCAGTGCCCTTAGCGAAATTTCGATTAATGGAAGGTTACTACGTTCCAGGATTATGTCGGTAAGTGTTATTATGTTACTTAGTGTAGTCTACAATGTAGTAGAACGTCATGTATGATGTTAAAAGTTAATAAATATTTCAACAATCCAGTATAAATTAATGTTTATAAAAATATTACAATATATTTATTATGTTTATCGTTAAAATAATGAATTAAAAAAGTAACTTTTGACGTGCAAAGTAAATAATTGTAATACATGTCTAATAAAATAGAATATTTTAAAATGTAGAAAATTCGCTTTAATTCGAAAAACAGTACAACTTGAATTTAGGTCCAGAGTGAGGTTAGAACGCTTAGAAATGTATTAAAAATTGTATTTTAGACCAAATTTTCAATTACAGAGGAGTATATATTCACCATTATAAAAGTTTTATAAGATAATTGACAGAATAGCAAGTTAGTACTTTTGAAAAATCAGTATCCGATTATTTTGGTAAATTTTCGTTCTAAATTATTTAAATTTATACATTAAACATAAGACAGTGACACTATAAAAAATAAAATGTCATAATCAGTGTTTTATCGTTTTTTTTTTTTTATTATAATAATTTTAAATAACTTTTATACATAGGTATATAAAAACTCATATTAATAAAAATGTTGATATTTTAGTAATTTCAAATATATGTTAGATTACTAAGTTTAGAAATTTATAAATATCAAATCTCTTTTATCCCTTAAAATTCGAGTGTATTGTATTTATATGATATTGAGTTTATTTGGAACATAATATTTTTACTGTAAATCGCTTAAATCAAAATATTTGAAAAATATTTATTGTTTTTTATAAAGCTTAACAGATGCTGTGCACGTAATGGCTTACGATTTACGTGGGAATTGGGCTGGATTTGCAGATGTCCATAGTCCATTATTTAAAAGACCCACAGATCAATATGCTTATGAAAAGCTAAATGTGGTATGTACCTAATCAAAAGTTAAATTATGAATTTATTTTACATAATAAAAATTTGTGTATTTAAAAATGTTATGACATATATAGGCTGATGGAATGCAACTGTGGGTGGATCTTGGTTGCCCACCAAGTAAATTGGTTATGGGAGTGCCATTTTATGGTAGAACGTTTACATTGAGCGCTAGTAATAAAAATTATAACATCGGCACTTATATTAACAAGGAAGCAGGAGGTGGCGAACCTGGAAACTATACCAAGGCTGTTGGATTTTTATCTTATTATGAAATATGTGGTTATTTAAAGGAGGAAGATAATGGTTGGACTGAGAAATGGGATGATATAGGGCTGTGTCCTTATATGTACAAAGGTATTTATTCAAATTTTTATATTTATTTATATATATAATATTATTTTTAACTTAGTTTATGTTATTAGGTACGCAATGGATTGGCTATGAAAATGTAACAAGTTTATCATTCAAGATGACCCATTTAAAGAGTAAAGGCTACGGTGGTGCAATGATTTGGGCTGTAGATATGGATGACTTCCAGGGAATTTGTGGTCCCAAGAATCCTCTTATAAAAGTTTTACGAGATGCTATGGAATCTTATACTCCTACAGTTGTAGACATATCTACTACACCTACGGTAGGATACTAAGATCAGGGACCTACCTAGAATTTTTTTTTTTTTTTGGGGGAGTTCAATATTTTTATTACCACGTATTTCAAATGTTTTTATTTCATAAGATAATTTGGTAATATTTAATTTTATAGTACTTACTAGAAAAATTGACAATTTTATTATTATTTTATTATTTTATACCCTGAAAAATGTTTATGATTTAAACTTAAATTGTATTAAGCAACAAGGCTGGGCATTAACGAGTTAAAAGTTAAAATTAAGTTAAAACGTTAAGTTAATTAACTCGTTACTTTTTTTTTATAAGATTAACGTGTTAAATTTAAGTTAATTTTATTTAAAAGTATCTAAATTAAGTTAACTTTAGTGCAAAGAATAAAGCAAATTATAAAATGAGGTTTTTATTATATTTATAATTTACTATTTTAATATGAATTTTCTGTAGACGAAAATAATATGAGAAATAACTTTAATAGTCATTTATGGGCTATATTTTATCATTATATTTTTATGAGATTGTTATTGTATAAATACTATAAACCCAAGGAAATCTTAAAAATATTCTGTTAAAATAGTAAATACCATGAGAGCGAGTGTCGATGGGGGATTAATCACAAAACAATTGTGGTATAATTTCCAATTTAATTTCATAATTCAACTAGCATGTGTTCTGTTCACATCTCGTTACAATTTATAACATATTATTATTAGTTTATTACTTTATTAGCTTATTATATTTCTGTGAAAGTTTATTATTTCTTTATTAATTAATTAGTTATTAATAGTTATTAATGAGCTAGTTAATACTTTTATGTATTATTTTAAATTTCCGCAGTCATTTTCTTGAGCGTAAAAAAACTAGTATTATGTGTGTAATTTTTTATTTTTGCAAATTAGAAAATTTTAACTTTAAACTAAGTTGAGTTACTTTTTTTCCAAAGTTAACTTTTAATTTAACGAGTTAACGAAAAAAATATAAGTAACTTTTAATTTAACTTAACTTTATTATTTTAAAATAACTTAACTTAACGAGTTAAAAAGAATCTTTAACTTGCCCAGCCTTGCTAAGCAATACTTTTTTTCTAAATTCGTTAAATTTGGGTATGAATATCCAATTACTCCTAAGCACGCCCCTGATTAAGATGAATTTTTTATTTTATATTTTAAGAAATTGTTTTCTATTATTATATAGCCTGAGTGGTTGATACCCCCAGAGATAACTACATCTAAAAAGGAAGATATGACCACTCAAGCAACTACTGAACTAACTACAGCAATATCAAAAGAAAAAGATACTGTAGAAGTAGTTGTACAGACAACTATGAACAATCCTCAAAGAATATCATGTAAGCAAGGAGAGTATTTACCTAGTACTTATTGTAATAAAGTAAGTAACATCAATTTAAATATAAGATTTTTTATTATAATAAAAAAGACTTATCAGTAGGTACATCATTTAATTTATCATAATATATTTCATCCACACATAATTTATTTTCTACAAAATAACTATATTTGTAATTTCAACAGTGATCAAGACAATATTTATATACGGTTTCAAGGTTGGAGGGGAGGAACTAAGGTTCTTTAAGCAAAATTGTTTTTTCAAAACGATTATTGTTCTACGCTTATTTTTACCTAATTTACTGTATTAATTATTCTTACAAGAAACTTCCTATTTGTGCTCTTCCTAAAATATTTCTGGATCCGCACCTGCTTAGGTAACAGTAAAAAACAATACAGCATTTACAGTAATACATTAATATTTATTTTACTATACATTGTGATCATGCCAACTGTTTTACATTAAAACAAACTTTGTATTCTAAATCCTCGTCTATTTTTTAATTTTTTTTTTTATATTCATATAGGTATTGGTATTTGGCTGGCTACACTATAATACAATGGTCTGATCAATTAATTTAGTGATTTGTAAAATGTTTTATGCTTATTGAATTTATACAAACTCATATACATTTTACCTAAATCGTGTCAATGCTAAAATGAATTAATATTAATTTGTGTATTTGAGTTTAGCGTTTAACATTATCACTGTTTATATGTTTAAATTATAGTTACTGTCATAAAAATGGGACAACTGATGAGTAAATAATTGTAATTTGTTGCAAAATTTAACATCTGTTTGAGAAGTGACATTAAGTAATTTTTATACATTACGTTTCTCGTTTTATTTTTAACAATGTATTTGCTTTATGTTTAGGATGTAGGTGTCAATGTTTGATATTAACATGAAATATCATTAAATACTATTAGTACATAACTATACTAATAGTATTTAGAAACTATTTCTATATAAACGTTGATAACAACGAATTATATTTATATGAAAGACCATTACTTAATTATTTAACTTTTTTTAAATATGAGTTAAACTGTATTTTAATAAATTTTTAATACTCAAGTTAAATTTATCGTGTATTAATAAATATTTCAAGGTTGAAATTTATCAAAATAAATATTAATTTTACATTTAAAATCTTATAATCATATTCTGATTTTATAAATATATAATATAAACAAAATAAAATAAATTATGATCAAAAATTCAATTTTTATAATTCCATATTATACGTTTTCGATATAATATTATTAAAATTATTTAAAAATTACATCACAATAAAAATAAAATAAAATAATACCATAAAGCAATGAAACCATATAAACTGAATTTTTAAAAATCTTATTAATTTTATTGATAACATTTTACAATTGCTATCCGTTACAAATTTTAAATCTATAGAAGAGTAATTGTAATATTGGAGCATGGAGACTAACTGCATTTAAAAATTGTCTACCAACATAATTATAATTTTGTTATAAATATTCCACACTTATAAAATTACAATTATAATAATAATAATAACGGATAGTCAAAATTATTGGCAATCAAAGTTTTATTTAAGTTTCTTTTATTTTTTTTAGTATTAGTTAATTGATATTAATAAATCATACATAATTTTTAAGAAACTGATAAAAAAAAATTAAAAATAAATATAAGTATCATGTCATATGTACCTGTTCCTTTTTAATTAAACCAAGTTCCGTTTAAACTTATTGCCTTGTTTATCTGATCTAAATATATATTTTTATAATTTTATAATAGAAACAAATAATATTATAATATAATATATATTTAATGAAATTCCATTAGTTAGAATTTCTTTTGAATAAGTATTTTATGAATATTATTCCAAAAATTTTAAAAACAAATAAGTGTACAATTATTAACCTATTTCCTAATTTCTTAATTTTCCAGTAACTTTCATAATTTGTATAGATAAATAATTGTCACATTATTATCAACTATTAAACTATCAATAATAAATAATACTAAACAGTTAAAAAAAAAATTTTTTTTGATTAAAATATAATGGGTATTTTAAAATAATGGTTTATTAAAAGTACCCACGTATACGGTAAAACATATTTTAGTCTTATGTATTTTGTCCATATGTTATTTTTTAAAATACACCATATAATGTATTTATTGTAGATCATTTCGATTTTATTTAGAAAATATTTAGCATTGTGTATTTTATGCGTGTTACAGTATTTCATGTGCAATCATGGTAAGTTGATGAGTTTCACATGTCAACCAGGCACTGTTTGGAATCCAGACAAATTCGTATGCGATTGGCCAGCCCGAACTATTCACTCGGATTGTATAAAAAATTAATTTATAAATAACATTCGAAATATATATTAACAAGAACTTTGTATGTCAAAATAATGTAACAATAGTAAATTTGCATTAAAAGGAAGTTAAATTGCTAAATTACACGTGTTGTACTTTTTACGACCCACCTTATACTTCCCGTTTTATAAGTAACTAAGTCATTCGCCTATGTGTTAATTGCATCGTAACAGACGACAATGAAAGGTTCATTATTATTTTTTATTATTTTTTCCTCGGCCTCTGCGCGGACAAGCCTCGAATCGATACCTTTTGGATTTTACGAAAAACTCAAGAACAGTGCGAATAGACAATGTAGCATAGACGTGAATATTTTGTTGGATGGAATGGAAAATCTAAACAAATGGGCTTTGGAAAGTTTGTTTTATTTCAAATATCTTATACGCTTATTTATGGTTTATCATATTATATCTAACTTTGCTGCATGTTTTACGATTTCAGTGATTGATTCGTCGGCTAAATTGCCTTCGGGAATATTGAGAGGAAATTTAAATCAATATGGTGACTTTGATGAGTGCATTAACGCTAATGATAACAATGGAATGGCAGGCAAGTACTGTTTAGCTGCAATCCAATTAAAACAACCTGTGTTTAGCGATCAAATCAGCGCTTACCACCAAGTCAGAAATAATCTAACCGATGTAAGTTACCGATGCATTCGGCGTACATCAATGTGTTATAATTAATTTACGTTAATAAATAAATTAAAATATATATATATATATATATATTATATATAATATATAATACATATATTATAGTTATAAATATGTATGTTATAATCAATTGGGACAATATTTAGCCAGGTCATCGTTTACCAAAATTCTCTACCATATACTGGGGCGTCTGCATACCGTCATCTTGTGGCCCGGACGACGTATCTTCTGCAATTATGGCAATTATTCAGAAATTCCAAGACGCCGAGGTACTTGTTGAGAATGATATGTGTCAGATGAAGCGTATACCAAAGAATTCAACTGATTTCGATTGGGCACGATTTTTGATAGCCATTTTAATTTTGTATTTTATCCCAATCGGAGTTGGAGCATTTACTGTGCCAGATGATCTTGACCGTACGCTATGATTTTTTCAGTTACTAATAATATATTCATATTTCAATAGATAAATAAAAACATTGTTCTTTTTATATATCCTCGACAGCTGATGTGGAACGGAACGCGCCCTTTATGCTACAAATGACGAAGGTTTTGAGGAACTCATTTGCAATCTTGCCGAACTTTAAATCTCTATTAATTTCTCCTGCTAGAAATGGATTTAAAAGTTTACAAGGAATGCGAGCTCTGAATATGATCGCTCTACTCTTATGTCACATGGCTATGGCAAAAATGTTTTTGCCATATTTAAATAAAACTGAGTTATCTGAAGTGATTAAAAATTTTCATATTTAGTATTTTCTTATGCAAATTTGATGTACGAAATATTTTGTAGAACATGTCTAAACCATGGCTGACCATAGGAAGAGTAGCGTATTTATACACGGATTCTTTTTTGGCCATCAGCGGTTTATTAGCTGCATACACATTAAGTAGATTTTCGCCAGTGAAGAGTGTTATTTCACGTTATATACGGTTAATATTAACATATTTTTTAATAATATATTTTTTTTTATAATCTTATGAAATCGAAAACCGAAAACAGTAAACTTAACAAAATATTATTTAATCTTTTTTATATCAACTATATCTTGAAACAGACTTTTTCTTAAATTAAATATTATCATATTTATGAAAATGGCATTAAAAAATTATTTGTTAAATTAACGCAATAAAAATACACATATAAAAAATATTAAAAGTAGCCAATAATTTAACATACATATATATTAAATGGACACGTTCATACAACATGAAAATATTTTTTTTAACATACATAAGTGTAGATACTTGGATAAATTGCAATACATATAATATAATCTGATTAGGCATTTGAAATGTCGCTAAAAATTTAGTCGATGATAACACTTGTTTTCTATTATTTCTTTCAGTTCTGCAGAAAATGAATAATGATCATTGATCAAAATACAAAATTTAATTAATAGAAACATAATGAAATTTTTATTTTTAGGATTTTTATGAACATAAAAAAAAATCTCTTATAATTTACCTACATTTACCAAATATTTATATAATTTTAGATTAACAGCAACTTTAGTAACTGTAATGATTATTTGCACAAAATATTTGCCTGGTATGAGCTACGGACCTATGTGGAATATGGTCATCACGCGACACTCAGATCTCTGTTACAAGAACTGGTGGAAAAACATATTATACGTTCAAAATTTGTTTGGTTTTAAAAATATGGTAAAAGTTTTTCGTGCAGTTTTGACAAATCATATAGTACAAATTGATAGTTTCTGTTTATAGTGTTTAACGCATACTCATCAACTCGCTATTGATTTTCAACTGTTCATGATGGCTATTATACTGATGTATTTGTTACGAAAAAGTAAAACTGTCGCACTATTAATAATTGTAACTATCATGTCAGCATCTACAATCATTCGTTATCAAGCCGTAAAAATGTATGATTTGGCTACAGTTGTTTATTTTGGATCGGAGTAAGCGTAATATTGTTTTTACACTGTGCAATATTGTGTTTTACGTACCTATTAAAATAATATTATTAATATTTCTATTTATCAGCATTTCACAGTTGAACCGTACGTTTGATTTGACGTACACTTTGCCCACTCACCGAGCAACTGTGTATCTAATGGGATTTTTGGTTGGTTATTGGATGCAGCAAGGTGGTCGACTAAACATTTCCGGCGTACGTAACCATGTTAATTTTCAACCGATTGTCGTGATAATAATTCATTATTTATTGTTATGCACGTACAGGCACAAGTTAAGAAATGGTGGCTTATAGCTACCACTTGTGGTCTGCTAGCAGTTTTTGGACCTTATCAACTTACCGATATGAACTACGTGTACAATAATACACATTTGGCGATTTTCAATGCTATCGCACCTATTCTATGGTCCGTCTTTATACTGTGGTGTATCATTGCTACCGATAACGGGCACGGTGGTTAGAAATAAAAAAATTAAAAAATTAACTCTCGTATTAATTCATAATATTTTAGGTTGGTTTGGAAGTTTATTGTGCTGTAAACCGTTTGCATTTCTTTCAAACATTTCGTATGCCGTTTATTTGGTGCAGTATCCAGTGTTTTTCTATTTCGTTGGAACAGCAAGAGGGCCGTCTTTGCATTCTATAACTACCATGGTAATATAATTTATCAATATCTGTAAATACTCTTGCCCATAGAAGAAGTTTTCTTGCGGTTTGTGATTATGTGTTTAATTTGTTTTTGTTTTAGTTTGATGTTGGCCAAATGATACTGATTGTGGGATTATCGATCATCCTGACGTTGATAATCGATATTCCATTCCAAAAAATTGGCAAATTTTTAACAGAAGGAACGAATGAAAAAGTGAAATCATTTTAAGTTGTTTAATTACTTAATTCTCTATTTATTACTACTAATTATAAACTACGGAAGGTATTTCTACTTGAGTAAATTCTCAAAACATCCGGATTTACTACTTAAGACTATTATATTATATTATTGCATGTTTACTTATTATAAATATTTTATTTTACTCGATAATATTTCTTATCGTTTAAATTATTAATTTTTATTTATGGTATGATTGAATGAAATTCGAATTTTGAATAAATAATGATTTGTTTGAAAATTTTAAATAACAGTTTTATGTGATGATCATTGAAAAATATACCTAATTTTTTATGTTCATGTTCAATTTTAAACACTTCTATCCAAGTTGTATATTCAACTTTGTGGTTTATCATCACTTTTATCATCGTTCTTTTAAAAATATAAATTTCAATTTTTATGAAAAAAGATTGTATAAGTGTAACGAATAAGACATACATTTAAAACTTATATAAGTATATAAAATAAACAAAAAATAAAAAATAAAAAAAATAAAGTTATTCAAATAATTGAATAAATCTATGAAAAAACTTACTATATTTCTTCTTGTAGAGTTAAATTTATATAATAATGATCATGATTTTTTTTATAATATTGTAAAATACATCATATTTATATGTAACACACTGATGACATTAATAGTCTAGAAACCGAGACATCATTTTCATGATTTATAAGATTTAATGAAATTATCAGATAAAAAATATTTAATAGTTAAAATATTGACAGAATTATATTATTATAACAATATAGTAGATTTACTTTTGTTCTTGTGAACTGATAAAGTTATGCAAAAATATTTGAGTAGCATTTCTATATATTGAAATAGGGTAGTAGAGTTTTTAATTCTTATCAGCTCTTTCATAGTCAGTAATAGGTCGAAAAACTACCAAAGTTTAATTCGTTGTAACTTATTTTGTAGCGTTCAGATTGTTGATAATTGTCAGATATTGTAGCGTACACATTTTTATATTTACTTTTTCTCATACGTTTTATCAGAGAGATTAATTACCTAAATTACGTATGTTTATATATATATATATTAAATTTATTTATTCAAAGATATCTATAATCTTTATTTGTACAAGCACATTAAATAAATTTGATTAATTTACAAAAAAAAGAGACACGAATACACGATTGAAGAAGATACTTATTAGTAGACCCTCTGTTAATTACGTATCTAAAGACACAAATTTAATTATTAAATATACAATTTTATTTATACAACTAAATTTGACTAATGATGAATGACATATTACATTTCAATAATTATTGTTTTACACTAAATTTGACAATATGAGATTTTGTACTTAATCTAGTTTACCTGTAGTTATAAACGATTTTTAATTCAAATTTTTGATTTTATATAGTGAAGAACTATCATTATATGGTACGGTTAACATATAAAAATATAATATAAAATATTTGGATAAATTTGAATCACATTATTATTAAGTAAATGAATAAAAAAAATATAATAATTGTAATTATTTTTGACTAGAAAATAGTATATTAACAACTAATAAAAATTGGAGCTCAAAATATATAAATAATGTGTTGGTATGATAAATTAAGATAATACTTCAATTAAAAACCTAAACGGTTTTATAACAAACCTTCTAAAAATAATATTCTTGGTACCAGTGGTGTATCGAAGGTGATTTTTAATTTGCCTAGATATCGTTGTTGAAATTTGGTACGAATTACTTTATAGGCACTTAAATTTTGTATTAATATTGTTTTGAAATATACAATGAAATATTCTAGAAATCTCAAAATATGTATTTCTAAGCATAAAATCATGAATCATTTCATAACGGGGGGGGGGGGGGCAGGTATATTTATACAAGAGATAAAGTCAGTATTAAAATATATCTTGTTTATCATTTATCAATTATTCACCAGGCAATTACTCGACACTATGTATTCGATGTAAAAAAACGTATCGAATTCGGAACGTCATTGACAACTCCGCAAATGAATTTTTATCTTTCAATATAAGTTTTTGTAATACTCGCTCTGGAGTTTAACGACTATAAAATGACATGTTAAAAACAGGGAATCAAGACGGACAAATTTTAACAGAAGACGACTAGAGAAGTTTTGATTTTAAAATTATGAAAATATGGAGTTATCAGCATTTAAAATGAAGTTCATCTTACTTCTTATTACACATCAATTTAAAATCGAATAAAAAAATATTTATCTTCTTATTTATTTCTATAGGATTTCGTGTGTTGTATCGTTTAATCATCTTCGTTTACTTCTATCAAGTGCAGGTGATTGTTGCGTGAGTAATCATCAACTTTATGTCTGTAAAATAAATTGATAATTAGATCTAATTCAAGCTACATAATGCTGCGAATAAATCGGTTTCATTTAAAGTTTTTTTTTTTAAATATATACAATTTGCGAGTACCTAATCATAAAACAATTATGACTATGATATTTTCTAATCCATTAAACGCTTTTAAATTGAAATAATATTAGTGGTATATTTTCACTATAATATTGTATTTTTTAATATTTAGATATAGAGATCAACAAACTGTAATTAATTTACGAATTAAATCATTGATTCAAGTATTTTAAACCGAAATGCTTTCCAAATCGAATTTTTACATTACAAACATCATATGGTCAACCGAAATGACATGAAACTTATAACTGTTACTCGGAATACTGGTTAAAAAAATTAAATGTCCTTTTTTTTGGTTAAATACTTTCTCTCCAAGTATGAAGTTCAAACAGAAAGATTTAAGCCCGTCAGTTGATCATTTACTGTTGTATAACTCGCACGTGGTGATTATTCACTTGAATAGATCTAGTTCAATTTTTTGTATCATATTAATCCGCTCACCTTTGGTATTTATCATTTGAGCCAGTTTTCTTTGATCATATCGGATGCTTTTTCAGCGATCATGAATGCTATCGAGTTGGTGTGGCCTCCCGGTAATAGTGGCATGATTGAAGCGTCGACTACTCTGAGACCACTGACTCCGCGAACCCTGAGCTTGGGATTCACGACAGCTTCCGGGTCCGAGTCCGGTCCCATTTTACATGTGCCCACCTGATGATGTAGGTTGGTCGTCAACTGACCAACCGCGCACGCCCAGTACGGGTCCGACCCGAACGTTTCTTGTTCGCAGCTCGGGAATGGCACCGTTAGCAATTTGGACCCGTATTTTTGGAAAGCTTGAGTTTCGCTCACCGCGATCGCCTGTTAAAAAACATCAAGATTTAATTGTTGTTAATAAAAATGAGTAATTTTATGTTTATGATAAGCTAACCGTCAGCCCTAAGCTTATCATCCCTAGAATTCAAATCAGGAGACTTAGCTCGACTAATTCTTCCTACTTAGATCATAACGTTTTTAAACGTCGTAAAATTGTTTGCTCACACGTAACAAGTAACAGCTACTTTATAATTTTTTTTTTTCTACCGTACGAATAACTACATATAGTTTTACGAATATTATCTATTGATTTTATTTATATGAAGTTAATTTTGTGTATCCGTTAATTTTGTTAACTTGTGTTGAAAAGTAATTTCAATGAAAATCATAATTATCTTATAAATACGCTGAATAATGGATCAGATCATGTAGTTATTACTAGCAGGCGAGTTGGGCAAAATTTCATCTAGATAATTATTCGAATAAATATGTATTCGAATGATTTTTTTAGGATTATTCAAATAAAATTGTATTCAACTAATTTGAAAACTTTATTATTCGAATAATTTTCAAACATAATTATATTTATATCAATATTGAAGACGGTACCTATTATTATATTTAGTAAATAGTCCATATTCAGTACTATAGTATCAGATTATGATTTATAGTCATGTAGCTGTATCATATATAATAATATATATTATACTATATAGCAGGGGCGGGCAATTGGCGGCCTGCAAGCCTTTTTTATCTGGCCCGTGCTATATTTTCAAATTACATCATACAATTTTAAAATTTATCGTCTATACTCTATCTTATCGATATAATAATTTTTATCTGATATTAAACATTGTTAAATGTCTAAATTTTATATCTATGTATACATATAACTTTCAAATATAGCAGTTTGTACCGAACTATTTAACTATACCAATTTCTTCGTATCATTCGTGTTGTGCTATCGTGTGTGTAGAATTTATTATTTCGGTGTGTATAAATGCTAATGAAAATTCATACTTTGAATGACTTTTTTTTTTCCTATGCTTTGGCCCGTTGGATTTTAACTTTCTAAAAATTGACCCTCTAGTAACTTTGAATTGCCCATCCCTGCTATAAAGATATGTATGTATATTGTGTCTCATATTTATAAGTATAGTATAAAAAAAATATGTAATAAAAATATATAAAATATATAATAAAATATATATATAATATTTTTATATTTTTCCGAATAAAATAAGATTCATATAATATAACTTTAAAATACAATGCCAGTCAGTGGCGTATATAGAAAATATTTTCGGGAAGGATTACTATGGACAAAGTTAAATTACCACTGATTTCTAACAATTACTAACTAGACACAATGAGTACTTATCTATATTTCATTTACAGAATGTCCTAAAATGATTTGACGTTGGACGCAAATTCTAAATAAGCATAAATCACCATTAAAATATAACAAACGTTTAAAATAATTTTTAAGTTTTTTAAAACATTTCGGGGGGGGGAGGCTGTAGACCACTAGGTCCTCCCTATATACGCCATTAATGCTAATTATTGTTTACTAATTATAATATGTGCCTGTTTTAAATTTCGAATCCTGTGTTTACCCAAACCAGGAGAGTACCCAGGATTTTTTTTAGGGAGGGGGGTCCAACATTTTTATTTTATCAGTTCTCTAATTATAAATATAGTTTATAACTCAATACCAACAAATTATTGTTAATATACTATAGTATGGTTTATACATTATAGGTATATTATATAATCTTTAAACTTTGTTTATTGCAGATAATGAGAAATTAAAATACACTATATACTATTATACTATTTACTATTAAATCGTTGAGTATGTAAAAATGTCAATGGAGGGGTCCGGACCTGACTCTCTCCTTGGGTATGCCCTTAACCCAAACAAAATGAACGAAAATTATTCGAATAACTATGTTTGAAAATTATTCGAGTACATTTTTATTCGAATAATTGTGCAAAAATCATCCGAATAATAATTTATTCGAATAAAATATTATTTAAATAATCATCTAAATAAAATGTTATTCGAATAACGCCGTACTCTGGCAGCAGAGTATAATCATAGTATTACAACATTATGTGAAAAGGTCAGTACATTTATCGGTATGTAAATTAGTATTTAAAACACTGAATAATTGAATCTTGGGTGAGGATGATTTTTAATTTTTAAAACATTGTCTAGACATTTTATACACAGAAAACAATATTATTTAGAATATTAATACTAGAGGTCTCTATTTCACGTGTAATTATATTCATGGATACACGTGCAATTACAATTCACGTATGCAAATTACATTAATATGTGAATTTAATTACACGTGAATTCGTGAATTTAACTTCACGCTAGTCCGTGAATTTTGTTACTAAATCACGCGTTTATTATTACATTTGAAATTTTATTATTATTGGTTCGTACTACCATTGCGATGATTCGTTTAATCTTTCAAAACGTATATTATCGCTTTGCACTCACGAATCACATAAAGTTACTCGACACTTCATGATCTACCGTATCATGACCGATCAACCGTAGAACACATGCATCATTTTGGGAGTTATATAACTTATCACGTATTAGTGTATTGGGATTTGTTCACGGGACAACAAGTTCAAGTGTTACACTAATGTACAAATTATAATACATAATATTATAATATTTAATACGAGTATAATATGTTTATTTGTGAAATCTGCGAAATCCGGATATTAAAATAAGGCAGGACAACGAATCCTCGAAAGTTTTGAAATTTGGTGTTGGAAAAGGATGCTGCGAGTGAGTTGGGTACAACATTGTACCAAAGAAAGAATACTCAGAATTTTCATGACTTTTCATTTTTTAAGAATAATATTAATTGATGTCATAAAATCATATCTTAGAATGTTTTGCTTTCGGTACTTACGTATTCCGAATGTAACACGCACTCATATATAATTATAATATAATATATATTCAGTATAACCCGTTTAAAACGATAATAATAACGGCTTATATAAACATATGAATTATTATTAAATGTATTAATATTATTGACGGTGAAGTATTAACGAAACAATAACAATAGTTAAGCAAAATTTCAGTATGTCATGCACAGGTATTGCGGGATATAGTAATAATATAACTTTGTATTTACAGGAAGACTAACAAATCAATAATTTATTAATAATTTTACTCGACGAAAAAGTTTCAACCAACTTTTAAACAATGCGTTTACAGTGTATTAATTAACGTCAAACATGTGCCCGAAACAGAAGTAGCACGTCCATATTATACTACCATTCTTATTGGTGTAAGTTTTATCGAACCACGAAAAACTTTTCTGAGATAAATTCAACGAAGGATATTGTAAAATATGTAAGTATCTACATGCACGAGACAGTTTTTAGCTATAACTTTTCAGAATTTGTGAGACGTAAATGTTATGTTGTTGCGAAAATTGTATGCGTGAAGGTCAGTTTTTTGTTGAGCTGTTTTTAAAAATGAGAAAAAAATTGAAAACGTCAAGTACTTATAAATATAATAGTATAAAGTGCATAAAAACATTTCAAAACTATTAAATGAATTTAAATGAAAGACTAACATTATATAATTAAGTTAATGTTTGTTGAAATATGCAATTTCATTCAAATTTTATAACTCTTATAAATCAATTTCACGAATTTCTTTATTATTTGAAAAGTCTTGTATATAATTTTCAAGCCTTAAGTATAAAATTGAAAATATTTTAAACTCTTGACTACAAAGTGTATTATTATGTAGATAATCGTGATTTTTATCGTTTTGCCAAAATGTATTATTTAAATAGTCGTTATTTATTTATTTATTTTTTTTTTGATATAAGGCTCAATTTTTTTTATCCAACCAAATATGTATATAAAGAATTTTGTATTTAATTATTTTATCGATAGTTATGAAAAAAATCTAAGACTAGATTAAAATTTTCATTTTCATTAGATAGCTTAAAAATTTTTTTGGGACAGTTTATAGCAAACATTGATATAACTTATATCAGCTATTATATCACCTATAGTTATAATTTGTCTACAAAAACAAGGTATTCCCTTATCTGAAGCTATTGAAATTGTATAAGATGTTTCGACAAAGTTTAGTCAATGAACAGGCACAGTTGAAATTGCTGTTAATAGAAAAAATTACAAACAGTTCTCAACAAAAACAAAGGATTTCAAATAATTTGTAATACTTCAAAAATATTAACTGGTGAAAAAAAGAACATAGGTTTGAATATACCAGAAAATTTAAACAGTAGCGACATGACATATTTTAAGTTTTCCCCAATAACATCGTCAGTTGTAAACCGCTTCTTTGCTTTGTACAAAACTATGTTGACATCATCTTTCAAATTTGAAAATTTGAAGAAATCATTGATTGTACAATACAATAACTATTTTAAAGGTATAATATATAATTTCATGTAAAAACATTAATCTATTCTAAGCATATATTTTTTTTTTTATATAGATCTTGTATATTATGAACATCAAGACTAGCTCAATAACAAATTATTAATTAATAAAAAATTACAATGAAAAAATTAAAGTTAAACTTTAATGGTTTTTTTTTTTGCATATTTTTGAAAAATGTGAGCATATTTTAAGAATTTTATAGAGCATATTTTTATGCATATTTTATCAGTTTTTGGTGCATATTTTCATGCATATTTTATAGTTTTTAAGTGCATTCAATCCACAGAATTTGATACAAGTATTCAAAGAAAATTTTATACCACTATAACTATTATTTTTTAAATTATGAAGAAAACAAATTTGGAAGTTTGATTTTGTCGAAAAACTGAAAAAGTCGTATATAATAGTTTTCTTTTATAACTTTTCGTTAGTTTTTTTGTAGAAAACTGTTGGGAAATTTGTAAAGTAACTCCTCTCTTTTTAAATTAGTATTAATAAGACAATACTCTCTCAGAAATATTTGAAGATTATGGTGATTGGAGCAGTACCTGTTCTTCTAGTCAAAATAGTATATAAATTCTCAAAAAAAAAAAAAAAATAAATAAATAAAAAATAGTGCTCGATATAAGAATTTGCGATTATTAGTGGTGAGGGTTCGAATCTCGAATCTCGGTTGCAATTTAAAGTTTTTTACATGTTTTCTTCAATTTTTTTTTTAATTTTTTTTAGAACTATTTGGATGATTGTTGACAAATTCAGAAATTATCCTCTAAAAGCATCAAATATAACTAATTTCCTATCTTTAACTTTTCATTTGGTAATGATCAGAGCCGAGGCCGTAGCCAGAAAGGGATTCATGCCCTTTCCTCAAATTTTTTCTTAAAATGTAATTTAATGATTTAAAAACATATTTAAATCTAACCTTCTCTCATCAAATATTTTTCTGGCTAAGGCCTTGATCAGAGCACTGATTGAAATGCGTACACAGATGACCAATACATTTCTCGTTTCACTTAGAATTTAAAATTGATCTTGATAATACATTGTTATTTTGTATTGCTCGTCCTAGCAGTTGAAAGTTTTAAACATAAAACAATCTTGCGATTATTATAAATAATATTATACCTACGAAATAACGAGTTGTACGATCGCAAACGTTTTTTAAAAGAAGACTAAAATAAAAAATAAAATAAAAACCGAATAATAATATTGACCATAAATTATTTAATCATCAGAATGTTGGCCGTGATGAATAGCCAAATTTCGTTTTCGTGAAAAACACTTAGTCTTCTCTGACGTTGTCGATGGTTGCGGGTTCAGTGGGTCACCATAGTCGCGGTTTCGTAATGGTATGATATACATACTATACATATATTTTATTATTATTTATTTTTTATAAAACATCAACGTACGGTGCCTGCACATTGAGTTTGGGTGTTAAACAGGTTTTTTCGTTTTTTTCGAGCACACAATAAAACGAAATATACATGTATATTTCACTTGCGTGCAGAAATTATATTTTATTAGTCAATAAGACCGGTGACGGCCATCGGGTCATGATTGCTGGTAGACGGTGTTTTACAAGAATGGCAATAATAAACGATGATCGCCGCCACGGTGTCACGAAATCATCGCAAGTTATACTATCCATAGTTAGAGGCGTGTATGCGTGTACATAATACTCGTATAATATTTAAGTGGGTAGAATAGCGTGAGATTCCAATATTTTATGCGTCGAACGGGTTTTATAATAATAAAAAATTAAATGTGTTTCATGCGTTTAATATATAGTAAACAATTACTTAACAACGCATAAGGATTTTTATAGAAACAGTGAAACACGAGATTCGCACTCCGTGTTTATACTTTATGATCGTTTCTCAACAATATCAGAAATGTCTCAATAAAATATCTTATAAAAGTCTTAAAAATCGTAACTAATTGTAACCGCTCCAAAAATATTGAAAGTTTATTGTTCGAATAATGTATCCGTTAAAGTAACTTGTGTCTTGAAAATCGTGAATAATAGTAACCCGACGTTGTAAAAAATATAATCGAAGGAATTTTGATCGTTACGAGTTAGGCTGGATTGGGAGGAATTAAATTCGCAATTGTTTGTAGTGGCGTTATTAACAAACCTTTAAAGGAATCGCTATGAAAATGTATGCTAGTGTTTAAAATCATTATAGATAAATATACTCGTAAAAATCGCATCAGCATAATGGTACAGTACAATTACGAAACAATGCGAATTTATTTGATGAGAACAATTATTGCTCGAGTTTTGCATACAACGGTCATAATTTATGTATACAATAGAAATATATTCGCATTTATTACATAAAGTTATACATGATATTTATCGAGAAAACAATTCGAAAATCTAGTAGGTTATATTAAAACTGTTGCAATAGAATACGTTTAAAAATCAATTTATGAATTCAATATCCTTGATATATAAGAATAAATGAGTGGGTATGGTAATTTGGAAACGATCAGCAGGATATTTTGACAGTAGGTATAAATTGTATCATAATTATGGAAACTCGCTCGTTTTGTATGTACAACTATGTCTAAATGTTTGACAAACTAAGTTTTTTTAAATTTTTTTTCTCTTTCTGATGAAACGAAATAGTTTCCCTATTTTTAATTTGTATAATATTTTATTAAGTATTTACAATGCAAAGTAGCTTCTATCATGTTTTATCTTAACTACTTTGTATCGAATATAAATTGTTTTCAACTCTAATACAAAAATCATACGGTTGTACGTCTGATCTGGAACGATTTGTTTAAACTGTTATAATTTTTAATAAATTTAATCATAAGTTTTTAATTTTTTATAAAGAAGAATCTATTATTATAAGTTTGAAGTAATTTTCATACGTTGTGAAATTTTAATAACATTTTTTACCAATCAACCCACGAAAAAATGGTACCTATTCGTTAACAAGATTTTAATAAATATTATATAATATTAATATAATTTATATTTTTATTGAAATATTGACATTTTATTGAAAATTTCAGGCAAAAGTTTTAAAGTTTTTTTTTGAATTGCAATTTTATTGACTTTTTTACCGGTACCGGTAATCCGATACCGATTGTACATTATTTATATGATAATACTCCAAGATACGCATCTATTTATTTATTTATTTCTATCTATAAAGTATATTATTATTTTACGAGTATGTTTATTAATTGGTGAGTATTAACTATTCCTTAATTTTTGTTTTATCTTATTATTTAAATAAAAGTTTTACATTAGGTAATAAATGTTGAAAAAAATATGATTTAACTATAAATCCAAATCCCCATAAGCTAAATAAACGTTCGATCAAAGTTTTAAAAATAATTAAATAACTCGATAACCATATATTTTCATTGTTAGTTATATTACCTATTAAATATGACATGTATAATCTCATTATACACCTATAACATATTATGTTGTATTGTTAGATTACCACAGAAACTGACGGATAGAATAATAATCCTTGATCGTACGTTCGAAAATAAGTGGCGTGCAGAGGCATATAATGCCGGAGGAAGGGTCCTATCGTAAGATTATGGGAAAATAAGTATATTAAAATAATTAAGAATGCTCAAAATTATCCATCGTATTGCATAAGATTTTATTTTATTTTTTTTTAATAAACAACTCCTAGATCGACAAAAATGTACAGACTTCGATATTACCTGTTTAATTCCTTCGACGAGGACATCACGATCCCGGCGGTCGGTCAAGTAACCGGCGTAGAACAGAGGCGCTTGGAAAGGATTGACCGAACGCAATTTGACACGACCGCGGCTCCGAGGCCTGAGCAGGATGGGCACCAGACCCCAAGCGTCGTGTCCTCGGTGCGCGCCGTACACCCGCTCGTAGAAGTCTTCGCGCATGCCGAACAGTCGGTGCAGCGAGCCGCCCGTGTCGCCGGTCAGCGCGCCTGGTCCGAACACTAACTCCATGTCGGGCACCACGGACCCGTTGACCGCGTACCGCGTGGCCGTAAACGCGACCGCCTCGGCACCGCCGGGCACGGTGTACGGGCCGTTGCCGTTGATCGCGTACTGGGCCAGATACCGGGGACTGCGGTACCGGCTCTCCACGATGGTCACCGACTGGTTGACCAGGAACACCAGCCCGGCCATGGACACGTGGTCCTGCAGGTTGTAGCCCAC